AATCACAGAATTATTGAACAAGAAGGATTTAAAAATCTGCAAAATGCTATTATCACCCACACAGAAAGAAATCCTTCCCTCTGCCAAAAAGACAATTGCGGATTCAACATTTCTACTAGATTAACAATAAATGCTCATGTCTTCATCGAATTAGATGCAAGAGCAACCAAAGACATTACTAAATCATTGACTTGCAAGATGGAAGATTTGCCTCTACAGATAAACTTGCAGGGAACAATTCTAAGGTTCGTTTTACTTATAATCACCCTATGTAAATAGAAAAATAATTACCCAGGTCATTAAAACATTTTCTAATAATTTCCTAAACAAAGTAAATCTGTAATTTTCATATAATGAAATTATTTCATTTTTAAAATACAATACCTGGAATATAATAAAAATTTATAATCTTTATATACATAATTATATTTTCTTTTAGGCTAGGAGGAGTTATAACACATCATGAAGATCACTATATGGCAAGATGCAAAAGATTAAATGGTAGGTGGGAATTATATAACGACTGTAGTACAAAAGTAACTTATTGCGACAGAAAAGGAGCAGAATTGCCAGCAGCAGCAATTTATATTAAAAGCGAACAATAATGATTTAATAAATAATTAATACACTGAAAAAAGTTGTCAAGCCCAGAAAAATATAGGCACACCAGTAGTGTTCGCTTATATTACATTATTACATTTGATTATATTTTATATAAAAATATAAGTACACTCCAACGCCGGTTCAGCGGACTGTGTTGGGAAGTCTACCATTAAAGTTCGCAATATTTTTACAACATATAAAATTATATTTCAATGTTAATGTACAGTTCCTTAAAGTATATATTTAAAAAATTGTTTGCAATACAAATTCAGTAAGAATTAAAGCAATCGACAAATTCTTACTATAAAGTATTATAATGTTAATGCATATTTACTGAAAAATATACTTATAAAACAAAACTGGTGATATTACCATAAGAGAAACATTAAAGAACATAAGGAAATATTTACAAAACTTCATTGTTTAACGCTCAAATTAGCTAAACTAGATAAATATAATTAAAATATGGCTTTCTAATAACTTGATTACAATAAGGTACATATATTGTAATGTTAATGTATATTTACTAAATTTAATTTTAACTAAATTTTTGTTTAAATAATTTAATAGCATATATAAAACAACTTTATTATGAACATCGACTCTATACTATAAAAATGTTTAGAATTCGTAGAAGGATAACAATGTAAAACTAAAATTGACCAAAAAGCAATTAGAATTAAAATTACCTATAATTAAAAATAGTAATATTTCATTGTGAGTTATACTAACAATAAAGATAATATTGTTTTATAAAGTGAGAATAGATACAAAAAATGATAGGATCAGAATATACTTAGAATAAAATATAATTTAAATTACAAAAATTATATGCCATTCATCATAGGATATAAGCTATTACGAATAAATTATTTAAATAAATATTCATTACAAAAAATACATTATTCTTTTCCAAAAAATCATAAATAGAAATCATCAGCATAAGCCAAGAATTAGAGAGAAAAAAGAATTTTTTATGCACAACAATTTTAAAAATAGCACTCAGGAAAATAATTTTTTTTTGAAAAAATTGTTTATTTATTTATGAATTGTTTATTAACAATCGTTGAATTTTTACTACCAATCATCAGCATAAGTTGTTAATAATTAGAGGGAAAAAAGAATTTTTGATGCACAACAATTTTTAAGCTAGCACGCAGGAAATAAATTTTTTTTTTTGTAAAAATTGTTTATTTATTTATGAATTGTTTATTAACAATCGTTCAATTTTTACTACCAATCATCAGCATAAGTTAATAATTAGAGGGAAAAAAGAATTTTTGATGCACAACAATTTTTAAGCTAGCACGCAGGAAATAAATTTTTTTTTTTTGAAAAAATTGTTTATTTATTTATGAATTGTTTATTAACAATCGTTCAATTTTTACTACCAATCATCAGCATAAGTTAATAATTAGAGGGAAAAAAGAATTTTTGATGCACAACAATTTTTAAGCTAGCACGCAGGACCCAGTAAACGAAAACTAATTGAAATGAATTAAAAAGAATTCACAAAGAGCTTTCGTGAATCCCGCTTTGTGACAAATACGAATTGGAGCCATGATGCAATTTTCCTGAATTCGTGAAACTGTATTGAACTTCCGAACCTTCTATCCGTACCAATTCACTGGACAAGTTTTGAGCCTTTAATTTTTTTTCAATTCGTTAGCACGAATTCAATGCATTCCTTGGCCATTTCTTTCGAATGCGAATTCGTTTGGACAAATTGGTACATATTGAATTAAATTCAATTGAATATACAAAGAGCTTGAGTGAATCCCGCTTTGTGACAAATACGAATTGGAGCCTACCAAAAATGTTAATTCGTTTCAATTCATTTGAATTAGTTTTTTTTTACTAGGGAAATAAATTTTTTTTTTTTGTAAAAATTGTTTATTTATTTATGAATTGTTTATTAACAATCGTTTAATATTCAATACCAATCATAAGCATAAGCTAAGAATTAGAGGGAAAAAAGAATTTCTCATGCTCAACAATTTTTAAGCTAGCACTCAGGAAAATAATTTTTTTTTTGTAAAAATTGTTTATTTATTTATTAATTGTTTATTAACAATCGTTGAACTTTTACTACCAATCATCAGCATAATTTTAGAATTAGAGGGAAAAAAGAATTTTTGATGCACAACAATTTTTAAGCTAGCACGCAGGAAAATAATTTTTTTTTGAAAAAATTGTTTATTTATTTATGAATTGTTTATTAACAATCGTTGAATTTTTACTACCAATCATCAGCATAAGTTAATAATTAGAGGGAAAAAAGAATTTTTGATGCACAACAATTTTTAAGCTAGCACGCAGGAAATAAATTTTTTTTTTTGTAAAAATTGTTTATTTATTTATGAATTGTTTATTAACAATCGTTTAATATTCAATACCAATAATCATCATAAGGTTAGAATTAGAGGGAAAAAAGAATTTTTGATGCACAACAATTTTTAAGCTAGCACGCAGTAAATAAATTTTTTTTTTTGTAAAAATTGTTTATTTATTAATGAATTGTTTATTAACAATCGTTTAATATTCAATACCAATCATAAGCATAAGCTAAGAATTAGAGGGAAAAAAGAATTTCTCATGCTCAACAATTTTTAAGCTAGCACTCAGGAAAATAATTTTTTTTTTGTAAAAATTGTTTATTTATTTATTAATTGTTTATTAACAATCGTTGAACTTTTACTACCAATCATCAGCATAATTTTAGAATTAGAGGGAAAAAAGAATTTTCGATGCACAACAATTTTTAAGCTAGCACTCAGGAAAATAATTTTTTTTTGAAAAAATTGTTTATTTATTTATTAATTGTTTATTAACAATCGTTGAATTTTTACTACCAATCATCAGCATAAGTTTAGAATTAGAGGGAAAAAAGAATTTTTGATGCACAACAATTTTTAAGCTAGCACTCAGGAAAATAATTTTTTTTTTTGTAAAAATTGTTTATTTATTTATTAATTGTTTATTAACAATCGTTGAATTTTTACTACCAATCATCAGCATAATTTTAGAATTAGAGGGAAAAAAGAATTTTTGATGCACAACAATTTTTAAGCTAGCACGCAGGAAATAATTTTTTTTTTGAAAAAATTGTTTATTTATTTATTAATTGTTTATTAACAATCGTTGAACTTTTACTACCAATCATAAGCGTAAGCTAAGAATTAGAGGGAAAAAAGAATTTTTGATGCACAACAATTTTTAAGCTAGCACGCAGGAAAATAATTTTTTTTTGAAAAAATTGTTTATTTATTTATGAATTGTTTATTAACAATCGTTTAATATTCAATACCAATCATAAGCATAAGCTAAGAATTAGAGGGAAAAAAGAATTTCTCATGCACAACAATTTTTAAGCTAGCAGGCAGGAAATAAATTTTTTTTTTTGTAAAAATTGTTTATTTATTTATGAATTGTTTATTAACAATCGTTGAATTTTTACTACCAATCATCAGCATAAGTTTAGAATTAGAGGGAAAAAAGAATTTTTGATGCACAACAATTTTTAAGCTAGCACGCAGGAAATAAATTTTTTTTTTTTGTAAAAATTGTTTATTTATTAATGAATTGTTTATTAACAATCGTTTAATATTCAATACCAATCATCATCATAAGGTTAGAATTAGAGGGAAAAAAGAATTTTTGATGCACAACAATTCTTAAGCAAACGCGCAGGGAAGTAAATTATTTATTTAAAAATTCTTTGTTTATTTAAAAATTAAGTTAATAATTAAGTAACATTTATTTATTAAGTAGAAGGTATTATTATTATTATTTTGATTAAATTAAATAATTTTGTCGTCGTACTAAAAGACATACTTATATAGTTTGAATTTCCCTGTTGATAAACATGGCCGACCGTTGTGCGCATGCGCAGTATTGTGTAGCACGGGTAGCACGTTACTCTGTGTATTATATTTTGTTAATTTTTTTTAATGTTATATTTTCTGCAGTTTGTATTACCAAAAGTCAGGAAGTAGTTACCAATCACTACCAAACGACTACCAAACGGTTTCCAGTTTTTATTTTACAAAAAATTGTATTTGCAGTGCTATCGTGAAATTAGCACGCCAAACTTAAAACTTAAATAAATCTTTCAATTTTCGCTACCAAACAAAAAAAACTGACTACCATACACTACCATACGATTACCAAACGAATTCAATTAATTAAATATTAATTTTCTCTAGTTGTTGTGCCAACTTCACGCCGCTTATAACTACAAAGTGTTTTATTCTTTGTGGAAATAATTGAACAATTCATAAATAAATAATATTTACGAATTTGTAATTTACTTTAATTATATACTTTATAAATAAACAACTTTAAATGTCACATAAGAGTTATCAATAAGTTAATTTATTCGTTTTGTCGATCATTGTAATAATTATGATGTTTTGCATCCTGGGATGCAACAAACCATAATTTTGTAATTTTATTTTAAGAATCATGTGTCAAAACACAACCATAACCTATTGATATGTTTTTGTTTTCTCACTTGCTCATATTTTACGATATAAAAAGAGAGGGCAATATGCGCATGTACTGCGCATGCGCGCGGAGCATAAGTTTTGTCATTCTGCGAGTATAGTTCCCCTACAGAAAAAGGTTTCATTTTTGAGAGACTTCACACAGTCAGTTCAGTCTCCTTAGTCTTACTCCCTGCTGTTGGGAACAGGGTTGGAAAATGACGCGTCATTTTTGGTTTCTGATGTAGATTACGTAGAATAAGTAATTTACGTAGACAATGTAGAAAACCCATGTAATTTACATTTTCAAGATGGCGGCCATTAAAAGACTAAAAAAACATAACATAACCTCTTGAAAAGTTTGCTTTTCAGGTTATACCACGTGACAAAATACATTAATGTAAATTACGTAGAAAACTCTTGACGTAAATTACCAAGTAATCTACTTGTAAACAACTACGTAGATTACCTTAGGTAGTTTACGTTCCCAACCCTGGTTGGGAATGATGTTTTTTGTTTTGTTTATTTTTCGTCGTTTCTGTCAATTAATTGTGTTCATTGTGCCGGTATGAATTTGTTTTACAATAAAACAAAATAAATTAAAGAAGCAGAAATAGAAGAATGTCAAGGCAAACTAAATGAATGGAGAAAAGTAAGTTAATTTCATGTTCATTGATGGTTACAATTTTCCACGAGTTCTAATTGTAAAACTATAATAATTGCAACTTTATGTTACAGAGAATTACAATTTCACACATTTCCTTTACAATTAAAGAACTAATTGGAAAATTGTGGATTTCCAAGTTTTCTAAAAATGTGAATTTCTTATTATTTACGTACAAAGGTGAGTAAATTTTATGCAATTCTTTTAATTATAAAATATATTTACCCTTTTTATCTTGTAAAATGCACTTACAGGGTTGCCGAAAAAATTAATATTCATGAAAATAATTGAATCCCTGTAAAAAATTTTAATATTTATGTAAATAATTAAATTATTGCGAAGAATTTTATAAACCATTTTCTAAATAATGAATTTTTTCTAAAAAAATGTATGCAAATTCTTTTTTAAATAATTGAATTTCCTGTAAAATTTTTATTATTTATAAAAATAATTGAATCTTTGCGTCGAATGTTATCAAAATTTTTTTAAAATAATTTAATTCTTTTGGGAAGTTTTATAAAAATTGATATTAAAAATCATTAAATTGAGAAATATTTTTGAAAATAATTGAAATTTTTCAAAGATTTTTTATTAAAAGTATTAAAAATAATTGAATATTGACGAAATATTTTGCTATTTATAAAGATAATTGAAATCTCGACGAGACTTTAAAAAAAAATTTTAAATAATTGAATTTCTGATACAAAAATAATTAAATTATTGAATAATTAAATGTTTTTTAAAATTGAATTCTGATAAAGAATTTTATCAAGAAATTTTTAAATAATTCAATTCAATTATTTTTATAAAAAGAAAATTCTTTGAAAAAATTCAAGTATTTAAAAGAAACAAAATTCTTGAGAAGAATTCAATTATTTTTAAAGAATTTTTTTTAAATTCTTATCAGAAATTAAATTATTTTAATAAATATTAGAATTTTTTGTGGGCAATAAATTATTTTTAAAAAATATTAAAATTCTTCGCGTAGATTTTTATTTCTTGCAAAGTTTTTTATTAATTGAATTCCTGGAAGAAATTAATTATGTTCTTTTAAGAAATATAATATAATAATTGTACTAAAACTTATTGAATTCTTCTAATGAATTTTATTAAAATTTTTGCAAGTAATTAAATTCCTGAAAAGAATTTTTTTCATTTATTTGCAGATAATTGAAATTCTGCGAATTATTTTATTATTTATTATTTTTTGCGAAGAATTTTCCATTTCCATAAAAATACTTGAATTCTTGCGAATAATTTATCACTAATCTAAAAATCATTGGATTCCTGCAAAGAATATTTGATTATTTAAGAGAATAATTGAATTCTTGGCAAGAATTTAATTAAATTTTTTTAATATAATGGAATTTCTCCTCAAAATTTAGGGTTTATCTAAAAATAATTGAAATCTTGTGAAAGAGTTTATTCAAAATTTTGAAAATCATTCAATTCTTTTGAAGAATTTTGAAACTTACGAAAATAATTCAATTCTTGATACGAATTTTTAAATAATTTTTGAATAAAATTAAATTCTTTTAAGGAGTTTTATTAAAATTTTTGTAAGTAAATGAATTATTTTGAGAAATTTTATTAAAATTGTATTGAAAATCATTATATTCCTTTCAAAAATTTTATTATGAATCAAAATAATGGAATTGTTTTTAAAAAGATTATTATTTTTCAAAATAATTGAATTTTTATTAAAACTCTTGAAAATAATTGAATGTAATTAACAATTAATATTTTTTAAAATAATTGTATTCTTTCAAGAAATTTTATCAAAATTGTTTTGGTAATAATTGAATTCCTACGAAACATTTTATTATTTCTGATAATAATTGAATTCCTTTGAAGAATTTTATTATTTATTAAAATATTTTAATCTTGCGAAGAATTTTCTTGTTTATGAAAATAATTGAATTCTTTCCGAGGATTTAAAAGAATTTCAACAAAATTGTTGAAAATAATTTAATTTATATTAAAATTCTTGAAAATAATTGAATTTAATTAATATTTTTAAAAATAATTGTATTTTTTCGAGAAATGTTATCAAAATTGTATTAGAAATAATTGAATTCCTACGAAAAATTTTATTACTTCTGATAATAATTGAATTCCTTGGAAGGATTTTATTATTTATTAAAATATTTTAATCTTGCGAAGAATTTTCTTGTTTATGAAAATAATTGAATTCTTTCCGAGGATTTGAAAGAATTTCATCAAAATTGTTGAAAATAATTGAATTTATATTAAAATTCTTGAAAATAATGAAATTTAATTAATATTTTTAAAAATAATTGTATTCTTTCGAGAATTGTTATTAAAATTTTATTGAAAATAATTGATTTGCTGCAATTTTTGGTAAAAAAAATTAACTAATTTCAAAGAATCTGATTTTTATGATAGTTCTTCAAGAATGAAGTTATTTAAAAAGAAATTACCTGACTTTCGCTGACTTCCCTGACTTGTGGCAACCCTGATTTATCTTTTAAATATTTTTACTTCTTGAAAAAATGTATTAAATGTTTCTTTTTCAATTTTTCAACAGTACAAAATGTCAAGTCCACGTGAAAAAACAGCGGTATGTAAAAGAGCAGCCGAAGTCGATCAAAATGAAGAAGATCCATCGGATAAAAAAATCAGAAGACTCAGTTTTTCTTTTCTTATCAATGCTATTAAAATGGGTAATGTAAATAAAGTACAAGAATTTTTAAAGCAAAATGAAGAATTTAAGGAAGAGAATAAAAAAATGACGCCCCTACATTATGCAGCTGAAGGCAACAATTTGCAAATTGTGGAGTTAATGTTGAAAAATGGTTACGGTAGAGTAAACTCAAGGAACAGAAGTGACAAAACACCACTACATTTAGCTTTGAAGAATAAAAGAGCCTCAATTATTAAATACCTAATCGATAATGGCTCGAAAAATTGTCTATCCAAAATTGATAGTGACAATGAAATTCGCTCCTGTTTTCTGAATGATCGTTTAGACATTCTTAAATGTCTACTAAAGAAGAAGGAATTAATCCAGGATTCGATGATTTACTACAGCGTCACCGAAAATCGCTATGAAATTTTGAAATACCTTCTGCAATGTGGCGATAAAGTGAATAAAACGCCGCAACATCATTTTTTTCTCCACAAAGCGGTGGAAATCGGAGACTGGAAAATATTGCAACTCTTTATTAATGCAAACTTCGATTTAATTAGTGGGAGGAATTTACAAAAGAGAACACCATTGTATTACGCTGTCAGGGAATGTCACTTTGAAATTATGAAATTTCTTCTTGAAAAAGGAGCGAAAAATACATTAAATTATGAGGAATGTTGTGACCTATTAAAATGCTCTATCAATACTGGTCGCTTAGATATTTTGCAATATCTCGGTCCAAATGATTATATTTCCCACGATATTCTCTATCATACGGCTTCGATCGGTAATTTGGAGATATTAGAATATTTACTAAAATGCGGCGTGGAAATAAATTCCGATACAACAAACACTGCCCTTCACGCTGCTGTTGAATTCAATAACATTAAAATTGTCAAATATCTCATTGAAAATGGTCATCACTTTCATACGATTCGAAATTCGGATGGTAAAACAGCTGTTGATTTAGCAATTCTCGGGGTGAAATTAGAAATAATTGATTATTTTGTCAATTGTCGATCAATGAGGATTATAAATGAAAGAAATCTTTGCGAGGCGGTGAAAATGGGGCATTTGAATCTATTGAAATATTTGATTACAAATGGTTGTGGTGAGATTAATAAGGAAATTATGGGAATTGGTACATTGCTTCATTGTTCGGCGAGTGAAGGTCAATTGGAAATTGTGAAATATTTGTTGGCGAATGGAGCTCAAGTGAATCATTTATCTAAAGAAAATAAAACGCCTCTTGTCTCTGCAATCACAGCGGGACAAACGAAAATTGTGGAGGAACTTCTAAAACACGGGGCTGTGAATAAAAAACACAAAATACCCGCCGAAAGTGTAAAAGATGAAATTTTGCTACTTCTTCTCAGAGCTGGACATAAAATGAAAAATTATTTCGGTAGACGAAAACCCCTTCTGATCGCTGCCGAACTCGGTTATTCGAAATTTTTGAAAGAGTTTATAAAGTCTGGTATCGACGTTAATTCGCAAACGATACGTAAACAATCGGCATTGGATCTTGCGATTGTAAATGAACACTACGAGAGTGTGCGAGTCCTGTTGAAAGCCGGTGCGAATCCGAAAGGTTACGGAAAAATGAAACCAACACCACTTGAATGTGCAATCGAGAATAATAAATTTCATATCGTCAAAGAAATTCTCGATCGTTTGCCAAAGGAGGATCTTGAAGAAGCTGTTCTCCACTCTCTTGATCTTGCCGTTATGGAAAAAAAGTCAATTACTTTCGTCAATATTCTTCTCGATTATGATTTCAACAATAAATACAAACCGATAATCGAAACTTTAGATTGTGAAAGTAAAATATTCATTTCTCTTGTCGATCACATTCAAAGACTGGAAACTTTAGTCGATTTTCAAAAATTATTATTAAAAAAAATCTGTCGTGGATTATTTCACGTGAATAGTGAGGTCCGAAGTGCATTAATATCGAGAATTGCTCTTTTAAAATCACTTCCTGAAAATGCGAATAATTTTGGTGAAATGATACACGCGCGATTTATCGAGAAATTTAAATTTAGAGACTGGTATAAAAAATGTGAGAATGAAATTGATTTAATGAAACGAACAAAAGTATTGCCTAAAGTATCAGAAATGACATATTATGATTTTCTCGCGAAGCCACTTTATAAACTCGAAAAATGCGTGTCAAATGCAAAATTAATGAAAAACTTTGAGTGTTCCAATGGTTTTAAAACGTTTCAGAAATTTTTTTATAAACGAGCTAAAAGAATTCGAATTCGATGTAAATTTATCGACTCGTGTAAAAAATCACTTTACTATATGGTTTATGATAAACTTAAAATTCATCTTCCCAGTGAAATTGTAGATAAAGTTTGTGAATATCTAACTGCGTTAGAAGTAAGACGTTTAGCAGAGTCATATCCTATGTAAAGAAAATTAAATTTTTCTTTAAAAGAAAAAATGAAATTTTTGTTTAAATGACAATGAATTTTTTGTTTTGAGAACGAAATGAAATTTTTGTTTACAGTACAAAAAAAACTGCAAGTGTCATAAATGTTATGTTTTGTATCAAATATTTATTACGGTTTACTGTATTTTGAGTTTTTTTTTTGTAAAAAAAACTTCTATTTATTTAGTATATAAAAAAAGTACAAATTATTCTACAATAATTCGTAAGAGAAAATTTAAAATATTACGAAATTTTTGTTTATTAAAAATTCAAAATTACTACGTATTTTCAACAGTTGCGTTAAAAAATGGAAAAGTATGTAAAATGTTTACAGTCGGAAACAATTTGTTTAATTCAAAATTTATTTTAGATAATATAAACAATTACACAGAAAGCAAAAAGAAATAAAAATATTTTGTAAATTAAAGATAAAAAATAATTAGAAAAATAAAAAAAGATTTATATTATATAGTAATTATGTGTTCATTGAAAATTCCTTAATTTCAAAAGTTAAAAATTTTTTTCTATTCTTTTTGAAAAATGACTTTGAATTAGAATTTTTACGAAGTATTTTGTTAATTCTTTAGAAAAAAGAATTGAATTCTTTTCAGCAATGTTGTTAAAATTATATGTATTGTATTGAGAATAAAAATTAAATTATATAAAAAATTTATTTTCAAATTTTTTAAAATAATTAAAATTTATTACAATTGAATTGAAATTTAAAGTAATTGAATTTTCGTAAAGTCTTTCATTAATATTTCTAATAATAACTGAATTATTTCGGATAATTTAAAAAAAATTGAATTCGTTTTTAGAACATTTATTAAAATTGTATTGGAAAATAATTAAAATACTGGGAAGAATTCTTTCATTAATAAAAATATTTCTATTCTTACAAAGAATTTTTTTCTTAACGAATGTAATGGAATTTTGATAGCGAATTGTATTTTAAAATTGCTTTGAAAATAAATTGAATTTCTTTGAAGAACTTTATTAATAATGAAAATACTTGAATTTTTACGAGGAATTTTATTATTAATAAAAATAATCGATTTTTTGTGATGATTTTTATTAGTAATATTTATAAAAATAATTGAATTCTCACAAAGAATTTAAATATTAGTAACAATAATTAAATTCCTGAGAAAAAACTATATTTTTATAAAAATAATTAAATTTCTGCGCAGAGTTTTATTAGGTATAATTATAAAAATAACTGTAATTTAAAAAAAAAATTAAAAAGAATTTTTAATAGGGTAAGTGTACTAATTCCTGCGGTATTTTGGTCAAGACGTCTTTTAACTATAAAATATAATTTTTATATTGATCAAATTGAACTTATGTCTTATTAAATTTGTAGTTTGTGTTATTAAGATATGTTTACAATAAATAACATCTCTAAAATATAATTTATTTTAATAAATTTAATGAATTAAAAATAATATTCAATGCGTTTAATTCTGCGCGTTTGAGTCAGTTGCTGCGCATCAGTTGCTGCGCGAATTTAATTCCTGTGGGTCAGTTTCTGCGTATAATTTCGTGTTTATGTGTATAATACCGCAAACTACTATGAAATCAAAATGGGACAATGATTTTAATCAATGTTTAATTGAATAGAATATAAATTTATTAAAAATAAATATATATCATATATTAACAAAAGTAACAAATAATTTCTGAATTATCACATTTTTGAAACATTTAGTTAAAACTTAATAACAGAATTCTTCCTTAATTAATTTATGTATTTATTAAATTTTCTTTAGTTTTTCCTCCATAATCTTCATTTTTTCTTTCATTTTCATAATTTTTTCTTGCTCTTTTTCAAAATAGATAGTCTATTGTAACCAGTCTTAGTTGATTTTCTGAGGGCGCAGAAATTAAATCAAGCCCAAATTCTGTGTTAATTACTACTCTTAAAAATAAAATATAATAACAGACAAAAATAAAGTAAAGTTTAATTTTTCTTTTAAAACAAGGTTTTCTTTATCTAAAATCATCATAATAATAACCACTTTAAGTCTAAAAACAATAATAAAGCCTTTTTTATGTAGGTACTTTTGCACCGCCAGCAAAGTTAGCAATGAAAATAAATAAAACCTTGAACACGTCAACTTTTAATTAAAATAAAATACATAAATATTATGTTTTGGTATATACTTCCTATATCTATTTTAAAACTTACATCGTTAAGTAATTTTTAAAAAAAATTTCAAAATTATTTGTGCCCTGAACAAATGTATTCACTTAAATTATTAAAATGCCGCAGAAACTGAAGCACCCGCAGCAATTGACGCACTTACCCTAATTTAATTTCTGCGAAGATTTTTATTAATTTTATGAAAATAATTTAATTTTTCTCTAGAATTGTATAATATTATTTATAAAAACAAATGAATAGTTTCGAAGAATTTTAATAATAATAAAAATAATTTAATTTTTTATAAAAATTTTATTTTTAAAAACAAATAATTAAACTTTTTTGAAGATTTTTATTAACAATTAAAAGAATAATTGAATTCCTAAAAAGAATTTTATTTTTTATGAAAGTAATTGAATTCTGCTAGCGAATTGTATTAAAATTTGTGAAAATAATTGAATAGCTTCAAGGAATTTTATAAATAATGAAAATAATTGAACTTTTGCGAAGAATTTTATTATTAATATTGAAATAATTGAATTACCTAGAAGAATTTAAATATTATTAAAAAAAATTTTAATTCTGAGAAGAATTTCTATATTTTTATAAAAATAATTGAATTTCTCTGAAGTTTTTTTTTATTATTTTTAAAAAAATAATTGAAAATTTGCTAAAAATTATATAATTAAATATTTGTTAAGATTTTTATTATCTTTATGAAAATAATTGAATTTTTTGTATTATTTTTAGAAATAATTGAATTTTTGCTAAGAATTTTATTATTAAAGAAAATAATTAAATTTTTGTGAATTTTTTTTTTATTATCAAGAAAAAATAATTTAATTTCCGCCAAAAATTTTATATTATTAAAAAAATAATTTAATTCTAACTAAGAATTTAAAAATAATTTTTGATAATAATTGAATACATGAGAAGAATTTTAATACCTACTTATTAAAATATTTGAATTCATGCAAAGAATTTTTTGTTAAAATTTGAAAAAAAATTGCATTGTTTATTAGAATTTAATTAAAATTGAATTATAAATAATTAAATTACGAAGAATTTTATTAAAAATAATTGAATTCTTTCGAGAAATTTATTTTAAATTGTATTGAAAATATTGGAATTTTTGTGAAAAATTGTATTTTTTACAATAATAATTAAATTATTTACCTACTTAATTAATTATAGAATTATCATAGAATTTATTAAAATTTCGAATCTGAAATTACCGAAAAATTGAAGTTGATATCGAGAAATTTATTTCAAATTGTATTAAAAAAAATTGAAGTCTTGCGAAGAATTTTATTATTTGTGAAAATAATTGAATTCTTGCAAAGAATTTTATTAAATGTTCAAGGAATTTCATTACAATTGTATTAAAAATATATGAATTCTTATAAACAAATTTTATTGAAATCCTTAAAAATACATACCTAATTGACTTCTTTCGGAGAATCTTATAAAAAAATTTATGAAAATTGTATTTTAAATAATTGAATTTCGTTTAATTTATTATTTGAATAATTGAATTATTCAAATAGTAGACATTGAAAATAATTGAATTTTTTGAGAAAAATTTCTTTCAAAATTTTGAAAATAATTGAATTGTTTCATAGGATTTTATTAAATTTTTTTGAATTGTTTCTAAGAATTTTATTTAAAATTTTTTGTTACTTCTAAGCATTTTATTGAAAACTTTTAAATAGTTTTTAAGAATTTCATTAATTTTTTTTTAATCGTTTCTAACTATTTTTTTTAAATTGTTGAGAATAATTTTTCATTTCAACTATTAGAGGATTTAATGTAGTGCCAATTTTCAAAAAGAAGAAAAAAGTAGCCTTTAGTGTCAGAAATCTAAAAAAATTATCAAAATTGTAGCAAATTGTTGAAAAGTAGTAAATAGTAAGTTTTAGTAGACGAGTGCGAAGTCTGTTAACTGAAATAATACGTAAAATAAACAGAATTGCAAAATTCTTGTTTACTCAATTTAAGAATTAAAATGAACTTTTAATTACAATTTGTTACAAAATCTATAAATTTATGATCTATAATTCAAATAATCTACAATGAATTAAAAAAGATTGTTACTAAAAATAAAGACGTACGACAATTTATCATTAAATGATAAATCCCTGTGCCATAAATCAATCGTATAATCAGGAAGCTTGTTACTTTGCCTTCATATAAATGAGAGAAGGTTCGAACTTTAAGTAAAAAAAAGAAATTTAATTACAAAAAAAAAATGTCTCACACCATGAGTGAAAATCAAATTAACAACAAATCAATTTACAATTTTTCTTGTGATAAAATTTCGAAGATTGTGTCAAAAGCAGAAATAAAAGTTTTGTACGAACAAATATTTTGCGATGAAGCGGAAAATATTGACTATTCTTTACAACCGTTTTGTGATGAAAAACTCGGTTTTCTTGGTTCACATTTAAAATTGGAATTAATTGGAAGAACAAAAAAAAGTCAGCAAATAAGAAAAAAATCATTTTTCTTAAAGATCATTCCATATCAACTACCATTGCAGGCAATTTTCATTCAGGAGAGTCAAATTTTTGCTAAGGAAATATTTTTCTTTGAGAATATTGTGCCTGAATTGAATTACAATTATTTTGGTGAGAAATGGTCGCCAATTTGTTATTTAATTAAAGACGATGCTCTTGTTTTTGAGAATTTAAAAGAAAAGGGTTTTCGAATGATTCCCGATAAAATATTCGATAGAGAATTAATGATCGCTGCATTGACGTCAATTGCAAATTTACATGCGGCATCGATAATTGCTGAGGATCGATTGAAGCAAAAATTTAATATCATTTTTCCAGAAGCCTTCGAGGAGAATCCATTTGATAATTCAGTGAAACGTTTACAATGGTTTGAGACTGCTGTCGATTTTACGATATTTCTCGCCGATAAATTAGGTTTAAAGACAGAGAATATTTTTCGAGCTTGTCGAAAGTCGTGTGAGGGTTTTAAACCATCGGCAACGAAACGTAATGTCGTGAGTCATGGTGATTTATGGGGTAATAATTTGCTATTCAATGAAACAAAGAAGAAATGTGTTCTCGTTGATTTTCAATTATTACGATATTCGTCACTCGCTCACGATGTCACTCAATTATTGTATTTATGCACGACACGTGATTTTCGTGAGAAACATGAGGCGGAATTGATAAAACACTATTTTGCAGTATTGACACGTGCCTTGATGGAGAATAATAAAAATATTCAAATTCCCTCATGGAGTGAACTTCTCGATGGAATTGAAGAGCAAAGATTATGTGCAATTGTGACGGCGGCAATTTTCTTTCCAACTGTATTAATGGATGGTAAAAGTGGTGCGGAAATTTTTGACGATCCAGAAAATTACGATAAATATGTATTTCACGATCGTAAAGATTTTGTATTCTCAATAATGCAACGTGATCCTCATTATGCTCGACGTATTAATGAAATTGTTGAGGAACTCGTTGAATTCGCCGAAAAATTGCAACATCTTCCAAATCCATCTTAAGAGAAGAAAAAAAAATTTTCTTTTCTTTCTACACATCTGAAAAATAATCCGCAAAAAAAATGTAAATTATAATTTTGAATATAAAAATTAATTGGACGGATAAATAAATTATATTTCAACCAAAGTCGTTGAGTATTTTTTAGAAAAACCTTATAAGTAGAAATTTTGTTCAGTATCCTCACAATTTATTTTTTATTGTTATTCTCAAAACTTTTTTGTGTTTAACTTAGAAATTTAATTTTTAAAATGAATTGCACTGAAAAGAGGGTTTTTTTTTAAAGCTGCAAAAATTTAATAAATTATAGAGAAACAATAAAGATAATATACATTCTTTTATTAATTATTAAATCCCGGAACATTTCAATTATTTTCAAAATTAATAAAATTCTTAGCAGAAATTCAAGTATTTTCAAAATTTTATATTTAATTCTTCACATGAAATCAATTATATTCAAAAATAATAAAATTCTTTGCAGGAATTCAATTATTTTCAAAAATATCTTTATAAACAAAATTCAATTATTTTCAATAATTTTAATAGAAATCTTCATAGGAATTCAATTATTTTCAAAAATAATAAATTCTTTTGAAACAATTCAATTATTTTTATACATAATAAAATTCTTCAAATGAATTTAATTATTTTCAAAAATTTGGATAAAATACTTTAGAAGATTTAAATAATTTCAGTGCAATTTTAATTAAATTCTTCGAAAGAATTTAAATTTCCTACAAAAAGTTTAATAAAATTTCTCGAAAGAATTCAATTATTTAGAAAAATTTCGATACAATTATAAGAATTAAATTATTTTCAATACAATTTTAACTAAATTCCTTGAGAAGAATTTTATTTTTCTTGGAAACAATTCAATTATTTTCAAAAACTTTAATAAAAATCGTCGCAAGAATTGAATTATTTTCAAAACTTTTAATAAACTCTTTCACAAGATTTCAATTATTTTTAAACAAACCATAAATTCTGCGGAAAAATCTCATTATTTTCAAAAAAATTTAATTAAATTCTTGCGAATAATTCAATTATTCTCTTAAACAATCAAATATTCTTTGCAGGAATTCAATTATTTTTAGATAAATAATAAATTACTCGCAAAAATTCAAGTATTTTTGCAAAAATGGAAAATTTTTTGCAGAAATTAAATTTATTTTCATAAATAATAAAATATTTCGCAGAATTTCAATTATATTTAAATAAATGAAAAAAAACCTTTGCAGGAATTTAATTATTTCTAAAAATATTAAAAATCTTCATCGGAATTAAGTTATTTTAAAATTTTTTAATAAAATTCTTTGAAAGAATTTAATTACTTTCAAAAATTTTGAAAAAATTCTTTAAAAGAATTAAATTAATTTTAGTTTAATTATTATTAAATTTCTTGAAAGAATATAATTAATTTCAAAAGTCTATTGTAAAAATCTTCTGAAAAATTCAATTTTTTTCTTTAATAATAAAATTCTTCGCAGAAATGCATTAATATTCATAAATAATGACATTTTTTACAGGAATTCAATTATTGTCTTATAAGTAATAAAATTCTTTACAGGGATTTCAATTATTTCTTGTAAACATAATCAAAATTTTGCGCAGGAAGTTAATTATTTTCTTAAATGATAAAAATCTACGCAAAGAATTTTATTATTTTTTAAATATAATTTAATGCTTACAAAAAAATTTTATTATTTATTAAAATAATTGCATTTCTGCAAAGAATTTTATAAAATTCTTTGAGAATAATTGAATCCTAAGCAAGAATTTTATTTTTTTGTAAAAATAATTGAATTCTTGCGAAGAATGTAATTAAAATTATTAAATTGTTTAAAGATCTTTTATTAAAATAACTGATATTTCGTAAAGAAATTTATTAAAATTTTTAAAATTAGTTGAGTTCTTTTAAAAAGTTTCTTTATTTGGAAATAATTGAAGTTCTGTTAAGAATTATTTTCATAGTTAATAAAATTTTATTAGCTATGAAAATAATTGAATTCTTGTAAAAAATTTTAATAAAAGTTTGGAAAGTAATTAAATTATTGCAAAGGATTTTTTCATTTATTTGAAGATAAATGAAATTTTTCAAAAAATGTTATTATATATGAAAATAATTGAATTCGTTTGAAGAATTTCATTGACTACGAAAATAATTGAATTCTTGTGAAAAATTTTATAAAAATTATTGAATATAATTCAATTCCAATTTATAATTTATAAAAATATTTGAATTTCTTCAAACCATTTTAAGATTTTTATGAAAATAATTGAATTTCTTGACTACAATTTTATTACTTATGAAAAAAATTGATTTCCTGCAAAGAATATTTTTTTTAAGATAATTGAATTTTTTCAAGATTCAATATTCGATACAAAATTTTTATATTTTTCTGTATAATGTTTAGATTTTTGAAGCTGTCAAAATAACCTTTTTTTCTTGCAACTCAACTTAAAATTTAAAATTGCAAATACAACTTAAAAATTATCAAAAAAGAATTGTACGGATATTAAAAATTTCTACATGGCATAAGATTTTTCTAAAAATATTCATCAACGTCTCTGGGTGATTTATGACGAATTAAGTCTAAACAAAAAAATTGTTTCGTTAAATAGAAAACAATAAATTTCGATAAACAACAATCTATGAAAAAAAAGAGAATGTCCTTTTAAAAAGAAAATCACCTGATGAAATAATTCTGTAAATATAATTATATTGAAGTGTAATGAAAATTCGTACACACTATGTAAAAAAGGGAGCCAACAAAAATGTAGGCTTAATACGATTTTCGAGAAATATGAGTAAAAAATTAAACTTTGTTTTTTTTCGATTCCTTCTCAATTGCTCGTTCCTTTGCCTTTTGATAAAGTGAAACAAGTTTTCCATCTTTGGCTAGTGCTTTCAACAATTCCATAATCAACGGTAGATAATTGTGTTTTCGTCGAATATTTTCAATCTGATATCGTTTCAATTTTCTAACTTCTTCCTCAATCAATTCCTGTAGACGTGCTACTTCCGCTGGATCGCCACATTTCGCCTTTTCTCGTTCGTACAACATTTTTCTATCGGACACCACGGCCATTAAATTGAAATGTATTTCGCCCTCGTTATATCTGCAAAAAGTTAATATTTAAAAAAAAATCATTTATTCTAGACATCGAATTGTATTTTTTTTAAGACTTTTTCCGACTATTTTCAAAAAATGCGATTTTTTCTACCTTTTTTTCAAAATTGAAACTTCTTCGAGTTATTATTGAAGAAATGTGACTTTTCTGACTTTTTTTCAAATATTGTAATAAAATTCTACGAAACCATCTCTAAATCAATTATTTTTAATAATTTTCCGAAAGTTCTTCGAGAATTCAATTATTTAAATACAAAATTCAATTTTTACAATAATTGTAACTGTAACTGTAAAAGTTATTAACGTACAGGTACAACATTTTCAAAAAATTATAATAAAGAAATCCTTAAAATCAGTTTTTTTAAAAATATGTTTAAATCATTTTTGAAAGATAATATAGTTTTTCAATTATATACTTACAATTGAAAAATTTTCTTGATAATTGAAATTTGGTAAAATCTTTTAAAAATAATTTCAATTTGATAAAATCTTTTAAAAGTACCTAGTCTAATTTTTGAAAAATAAAAAAAATAATCAAATTTCTGAAGAATTTTAATTGAAAATTTTCAACATGATTATTTTCTCCAAAATTTTAAAAACAATTGTCATAAATTTTAAATGTTATTTTTTGTATGTATTTGAATTTTCGAAAATATGTAATTGAAAATATTGAAAATAATTGATTTTAAAAAAATTAGAATGAAAATATTATAAGAATTAATTTTTTTTTAAAACTTTTAAAATATATTTTTTGAAGCTACAATTTTTCATTAAATTTCATTTTTAAATTTACACTTGAAGATTATTTGTTAAAATTTTTGAAAATTCAAATAAAATTCTTTTTAAATAATTTCTTTGAATTTTTTTTAAATAATGGAGTTTCTAATAATACATAAAATTCTTTTAAATAATTGAATTTTATAAACAATTTCTTTCAAGCTTTTAAAATAATCGTGTTTGTTAATAATTGAAATTAAACATTTAATTATTGAATTTTAGTAACATTTTAGAAAATAATTGAATTCTTTTGAAAAATTTTAGACCAAATTAAGAAAAATTGGAATTTTTTCTTGAAATTTTTTTTGAAAACAATTGAATTTTTGCAATGAGTTTTACTATTTATAAATGAGGCTCCGGATCTTAAGAAGGGCACTTTCAGCATTGATTTTAAATAGTAAAATGCCCTTTTAAGATCCGGAGCCCCAAATATAATTGAATTGTTTCGAAGGATTTATTAAAATTTTAGAAAATAATTGCGTTCTTTTGAAATATTTTTTAACGAATTAAGAGAAAATGGAATTCTTTTGTGAAATTGTTTTGAATATGTAACTGAATTTTTGCAAAGAATTTTACTATTTATAAATAAAATTGAATTGTTTAGAAGGATATTTATTAAAATTTTAGCAAATAATTTTATTAATAAAAAATAAAAATAAATAAAATAAATAATTATAAATAATTATAAATAATTATAATTAATTAATTAATTATTAATATTTTATTATTAATATTTATTATTAATAATTATAATTAATTAATTAATTAATTAATTAATTATAATTATTAGTAATTATAATTAATTAATTAATTAATTAATTAATTATAATTATTAATAATTATTTTTAAATAATTTTATTTAAAAACAATTGAATTTTTGCAAAAAATGTTACTATTTGTAAAAATAATTGAATTCTAACGAAGAATTTTATCAAACTTTTTGAAATTAATAAACAAGCATAATGAATTGATAAATTAGTTAATAATTGAATTTTTTTAAAGTTTGTATCTGAAATTATTCAAAAATTCATATTTGAAAATTAAAAATGTTTTAATTTGCATAATAATAAATTGAATGTCACGTTTAATTATTTTGAATTAAATTATTCAGTTATTCAAAATCTTTTTAATTGTATATCTCGAAAATTTATTTAGAAAAATTATTCAAAAATAATTTTTAAAAGATTTGCTCATTGTTATACTTCTTGCACTATAAAAATCGAAATAAGTTGCATCTTATACGAAAAATGTGGTATTTTGTTGCAATATTTGGAAGAAAAGTCAAAAAGGTCGCAATTTCGGAAAATAATTGGAAAAAAGTGTCATTTTTTGAAAATAGTCGAAAAAAGTCACAATATCCGAGGGCTGGAGTGTTTTTTACATCTTTAAACGATTAAAGCAACATTTTTAGCGCCTTAAAGTCGATCCTAGGCCTGCATCTAAATTTTTATAACTTACTTGTTTATCCTTTTTTGAATAATTGGTTTCACAGCTTGTACCCATTGATCTCCGGATGGGCAAGGACCTAAGTCCATTGGTCCGTCCTTCAAACCGTCCAATTCGTATAGTCGTCCATCAATTGGTAAATAGCTTACAAAATGAAATACGTCTTCATCCTTTCCGGATAATTTCGAATCATATTCAAAAAGTGTTTGTCTAAACATCAAACAACAGCAATAAGTAAATTAGCAAATACTTTACGATTATCACAATAAAAGGCAAATTTACCTGGCAAATGAGTTGTGAACTTGTCTAATGACGTCTGAGTTACTCAAAGCTAAACCGCGCATATTAGCGTCAAAACTTTGACAAAAATTTTTAAATTCCTCTAAATTTGGTCCTAAAGCAACATCTGAATGCTTGCAATTAAGTAAAACGCTTAGAATCGCTTGAGTCGCACAAGCATTGTTGATAACCTGCAAACAGTAAATTATTAATCAACCATTAATTCTCTGATAGATTTCATGTTGAATCTATTGAATTTGAAAATTATAGAATTCTATTTTAATCTCTTCAAGATTAAATAATAGTTTTGTTAAAAAAAATGTTATTCTAATTTTTTAACTTTTATAATTTTGAATTTCAAATAATTTAATTCTTGCATACAATTTTATCAAAATTTTTAAAAATAATTCAATTATTTCGAAGAATTTTATTAAAAACTTTTGAAAATAATTAAATTCCTGTGAAGATGTTTAATATTTTTAAAAATAATTACATTCCTTTAAATAATTTTATTATTCATTTAAAAACAATTAAAATTCTGCGAAATATTTTACTATTTATGAAAATAATTGAATTCTTGACAAACATACGAAAATAATTGATTTTCAGCGAAGAAATATTATTTTATCTAAAAATAATTAAATTCCTGCAAATAATTTAAATTTATTCAATTCAATTTTTTAGAGAAATTTAGTTAAAATTGTATTGGAAATAATTGAATTCTTATAAAGGATTGTATCAAAATTTTGCTAAATAGTTGAATTTATTATTTTAAGGAGTTCCATTAAAAATTTTAAAAGTAAATCAATTCTTTCGTAAAATGTTATTAAAATTATTTCGAAAGTAATTGAATTCCATTGAAGAATTTTATTATTTATGAAAAAAATTCAATTATTTTTGTTGTTGACATGAATTTTATTATTAATAAAAACAATTGAATTTTTCAGGCGATTTTTATGGAAATAATTCAAAAATAATTGAATTCTTTAGAGAAATTTTATTAAACTTTTTGAAGAATATTTTTAAATTCTTTCGAAGAATTAAATTAAAATTGTACTGAAATTATTTAAATCTTCTAAAGAATTTTATCCAAATTTTTGAAAAAAAATTGAATTCTTTAAGGAGTTTTATTAAAACTTTTATTAATGAATTCCTTTAAAAAATTTTATTAAAATTGTATTGAAAATAATTGAATTGTTTCAAAAAAATGTATTATTATTTTTGAAAATAATTGAATTCCTGTGAAGATTTCTATTAAATTATTGAAAATAATAAAATTTTGTGTAAAGAATTATAAAGATATTTTTGAAAATAATTGAATTCATACAAAGAATTTTATTATTCTTTAATATAATTGAGTTCATATGAAGAATTTAAAAAAATTTTTGAAAATAATTGAATTTCTGCTATTAAAATCTTCTGCAGACTTTTATCCAAATTTTTGAAAATAATTGAATTCTTTTGAGACATTTTATTAAAATTGCATTGAAAATAATTAAATTCATTTGAAGAAATTTATTGTTTATGAAAAAAATTGATTTCTTGACAGGAATTTTATTCTTTATGAAAATAATTGAATTCTTGACAATAATTTCATTATTTATAAAAATAATTGGATTTTTGACAAGAATTTGATTACTTATGAAAATAATTTAATTTTTGTCAAATTTTTTTTTAAATTTTGGAAAATAGTTAAATTTTAATAAGTGAATTTTAAAAATTTTTGAATCTGCAATCATTTAAAAATTAAATTTGGTTTTTGAGAATAAATGAATTTGAAATTTGCATAATAATGATTTGCTAGTAAAAATAATAAATTACTAAATAAAAAATAATTAGTTTTAATATTTTTTAAAAAAATTAAAAATAAATAAATAATAAATTAATTTTACTGCTATTTGTCTTTAGGGGACAACAGACTAATAATAATCAAACAACCAACCAACAAAACACAACTAAATTAACAATTAAAACAATTAATAAGTTCAGTACTTACCTGTTTAGCGAAAAAGATTTTATCAAGTCGACTGTCCTGAACCAAAGTTCCTAATGGTTCATCGTCATGAACCCATTTAAATAAAAATATTAAACCGTGAACAGGTCTGAAAGGGAAAAAAAGGTATAATTATTATTCTTATATAGAAACAAAGATTCATATTGACGATTTTTTTTCAAAAACCAAATTTATAAAATGAAATATTTACTTCAAATTTTCGAATTGATCATCATCTAAACTCCACAATTCTTCGACTTGTAATCCTTGAACGCCTATAATAATTTAAATATAAAATATTAACAGAAATCTTAAAATCCAAACATCAAAAACTGCAAAGTAATCGTGAGAATTACCAAATTCTTTTATTAATTCAGTAAAAACGCCAGGATCACTTTCAATGAGACACCAATTCAAAGTTGAATCCGCCATGTCTTTAAAATCGTACTAAAAGTTAATAAAAATAATTAATTCTTTTAATTTTCTATTTTATAAATAAAAAACTTTGCAAGTTATTTAGAACTAACCTATAAATTTTCGCTGTTCTGACAAAAACAAAGAATATTAAGGTTTGCTCACTGCGTGTAAAACTTGCGCAAGTTAGGCTATGTTCACAATGATCTTTTTATGTTCTTGTTCTTCTTTTATTATTGAACAATAGATTTCTTCTGTTATGCCGACAATTGTCTTTTTTATGGCCTTATGCCTTATGTTGAACGTAACATAAAAATACAATAGATTTCTATTGTATTCTATCTATTATTCTCATGTTACGTTCAACATAGGACATATGTGGACAACTTACCCATCCCTGTTGTTTTCTTTTTTCGCAATATGAAATTACCTTAATAATAATACGACGTCGTCTGCTCCCTTATGTCATGAACTATATAAATACTTTTGACGTTAAATTTTCAATGCCCACACATGTTTCAAAAATCGTCTATTATAGAAATGTTAATTGTATAGTTAACTTGTTTTAGTATTATTTATAAATAAATTGTTGTAAACAAAAAGAGAGTTTAAAATGCCGCAAGGAAGGAGACGAGCTCCTTTCAGTGGGAAGGCAAAAAAACAACAAATGCAAGAGAAAAAACAACGCAAAAATCAAATTCTACTTGGTATGTGTAGTAGTTAATATTTAATCTAGAAAAATACCAATGTACATTTTTTATACAATCAAGAAATTTCCCTTTTTCAATTCTTTTTCTCCAATAGAATTCATATAAATGTTTACCATTTCTAATTCTTACTTAACAATGTGTTTTTGTAATTTAAATTTTATTAAGTTTTTTTAATGTTTTAAAGTTATTATTTATTATTCCTATTATTATTATTATTATTATTATTATCATTGTTCGTTATTATTATTAATATTAATTTTCATAAATAATAATAAATACATTTTTACTTTTTAATATATTATTTCTATTAATACTTTAGTATTACTATTATTATTCTTGAATAAACATTAATTTAAATTTAGTAAAGTATTTAATTGTTAAACAATTCTATTTATAGAGTTGTAAATTAAATTTGCATAAAGATTTAATGAAGAAAGATAATTTTTACCATTTGTAGTAGAATCAAAGATATAAAACTTTAATTAATTATTTTTGTTTCTAATTTTATAGAAGACGTTATGATAATAAAGTTACACTTTGCAATCAAAATCTTCTTGCGAAATAATTTTTTTATCTTATCAAATTTTAAGAATTCTGTCTTAGTATATTTATAATTATTGTTATGCAAATTAAAATTTTTTTTTATTTTTAAATATTAATTTCAGATTCAAAATTTAAAAAAAATAAAATTTTTCACTAATTTACTAATTAATTATAATTATTTATTGTTTTTAAAAATTTTAACGAAATTCTTCACAGAAATTTCAATACAATTTCACAATTAAGAATCGAATAAATTTTTAAAATTTGATAAAATTCTTCGTAGCAATTCAATTGTTTTGAAAAATTTTGATTAAAAATTCTTTATGAGAATTGAAATATTTTGAATACAATTCTAATTAAATTCCTTGAGAATATTCAAATATTTTTTTAAATATTAATAAAATTCTTAGCAAGATTTAATTATTTTAAAGAATGTAAATTGAATTCTTCACATAAACTTAATTACTTTGGAAAATTGTGATAAAATTATTTATGGGAATTGAACTAATTTCGTAATTAATAAAATTCTTCACAGGAATTTGATTTGTTTTTAATAATATGTTTTTTAATAAAATTCTTCGCAAAAATTTAAAAAAAAAAAAAATTTCTACAGTAATTAAATTATTTTAAAGAAATTTAATTAAATTCTTCGTAGAAACTTAATAACTTTGGGAAATTTTGATAAAATTATTTTTGAGAAGTGAATTAACTTCGTAATTAATCAAAATTCTTCGCAGAAATTAAATTATTTTCCAAAATTTTGGTAAAACTTTTTTAAGAATTTAAATATTTTAAAAACAATTTTAATTAAATTCCTCGAAAAATATTCGATTAATTTTTTTAATAAAATTCTTAGCAGGATTTCAATGCAATTATTTTCATAATTTATAAAATTTTTCACAAGAATTTAATTATTTTAAAGAATTTTAAAAAATTCTTCTCAAAAATTTTATTACGTTTTGGAAAATTTTGATAAAATTATGAGAATTTAATTAATTTCGTAATTAATCAAACTCTTCGCAGGAATTTAATTATTTTAAAGAATATTTTTTTAAATAAAATTCTTCTCAAAAAATTGAAATTTCTCGAAAGAATTCGAGATATGATAAATTGATGACTAATGATGATGATGAATTTGTTATTAAATTAAAATTTTTAATTGGAAATTCTTTTTTAGGACAAAGTCACAGTAGTAAGGATAACGATAATTGTGATGATGAGGAACATCAGGCGGGAAGGTCGATTAAAAAAATAAATAAACAACCACGTGATGCTGGAAGAAATAAATATGCTCTGCATTTTTTTCAAGAATCACAGGAAGAATTGCGTAGACGTAAGGAGGAGGCGTACCAAACTGTTGAAATACTTCCTCTAAATAAGCAGGAAATTTCCGACTCCTATTTCCCACCGGAAATCGATTTACCTAAGCGACCTCCTTGGGATTTCAATATGTCGAAAGATCAATTGGATATTCGTGAGCAAAAATACTTTAGAGTGAGTTATTTTTCACTTATCTAATTGTCAGCTCTCGGATCGATTTTAAGGAGCAAAAAAATCGCTTTTAGTTGATTAGAAGTAGAAAAAAAATGTAGATAAAGTCGCTTCTTTCTTATTCTATAATTATTATTTGATTTCATTAGAAGTTTATTTAATTCAGTGTTGTCACAAAAATTAAATTTTTTATTTCCTTGATCTTTTACTGATTTCTCAATTCAAATATTCAAAACTTAAATAATTTTGTTAAATTAATATTTTTAATTTATTTTTCCACGAGAATTACATTTTTTTAAATATTTGTCCAATTATTTGTCCAATGAAAATGCAAAATATTAAAAGTAATTGAATTTTCAAAATTCTAAGAATTATGTTTATAAAAAATATTTTAATATAATTTTTGGAAACTAATTTTTATTCATTTTCATTTTTAAATCATCATTTGCAAATTTTTCTTCATTGAAATTTTTGACAATTCAATATTTTTTGTCAAAATTTCCAATTAAAACTCTCCAAAATTTGATGTTCAAAAATTTCAATTAAATACTTGAGAAAAATCATTTATTTTCACTAAAATTTAAAAAAATTTCAATTATTTAAAAATTTTATTGATTATGTTTTTCGAAAATTTTTCAATGTACATATTTCGAAAAATCTTTCAAAAATAATTTTTGAATAATTACCTAATTGAAAATTATTCAAAAATATTGTTTGAATAACTAATTAAAAACATTTTAATGAACTATTTGGAATATTTTATTACGTAAAAAAAATCATTCAAAGATAATTTTTGAAAGATTTAACTTCAATTATTTTCCAAGTTACAAAAATCAAAATAAGTTGCATTTTATACTAAAAAAGTGGTATTTTTCAAAAATTTGATGTTCAAATGTTCATCAAATTTTTTTTTAATTGTATTCTTTGGAGAAACTTACCTATAATTAAAAACTTTTAGAATAATTGAAATTCTGTAAAATTTAATTTGAAGAATTGATTTTTTTCAAGTATTTTATTAAAAATTTTGATAATCAACCTTTGAAGAATTTTAATTTCAAATTTTGAAAATAATTGTATTCTCAAAAATTTTAATGAAAAATCGTCAAGTGTAAATTTAAAAATGAAAATTAATGAAAATTAGCTTCTAAAAATTATATCTATTAAAATATTTTTGAAAAAGTGATTCTTAGAATTTTTTCATTCTAACTTTTTAAAATTCAATTAATTTCAATTACATATTTCCGAAAATTCAAATACATACAAAAAATAACATTTAAATTTTTTATAATAATTGTTTTTAACATTTTGAACGTTCAATCGTGTTCAAAATTTTTGATTAAAATTCATCAAAAAAAATTTTTTTTTTAAATTATACCAAAATTCTTTTAAAAACTTCAATTATTTTTGAAGAATTACATTAGAATATTTAAAAAAAACGAATTTACAGTTGCAATATTGTTAAAAAAATTGAATTTTCGTTTTTAAAAATTGAATTCTTGAATAAGAACTTTCGGAAAATTATTGAAAATAATTGATTTAGAGATGAAGTTTAGTTAAAATTGTAAAAAATTTAATTTTGGAAGAATTATAGTTGCAATTTTTAGAAATTATTAAATTTCTAAAGCTTTTAAATTGAAATCTTTTTAATTTTATTTCTTGTGGAAAAACAAATAAGAAGCATTTAAATATTTATTTAACAAAATTATTAAAGTTTTGAATAATTTAATTTAGAAATCAGTAAATTTATCAACACTGAATTAAATAAACGACTTTTTCGCCTTTTTTTTGTAATTTGAATCGACTAAACGACTTGTTTTGCGCCTTAAAGTCGATCTGAGGCCTTGAAATTGTCAAAAACTTTAGCAACGATTTTTAAAATTGTATAATCAATTTATTTTTACAAATAATACATTTTATAATATAATAAATTTATTTTTATACAAATAATAAATTTTTATTTTATAGAAAATTAATTTTTATATATTCATTTTTTAAACTTATTCAGCCGAAAAGAATATTTCGACTAATCGTGAAGTTATTATTTTTTCCAGGAATATTTGGACAATTTAAACGTGGAAAAATTAAGTTTCTTCGAATTAAATTTGGAAACCTGGCGTCAATTATGGCGCGTTATGGAAATGTCGGATGTTCTTTTAATTATCGTTGATATTCGTTTTCCAGTTCTCATGTTTCCACCCTATCTTTATCGATACATTACCGTGGATCTTGGAAAAGATATGATACTAATTCTCAATAAAATTGATTTGGCACCACCTTCGCTTGTCGTTGCTTGGCGTGAATATTTCAAAAAGCACTATCCACAACTTCATATTTTAATGTTCACTTCGTATCCGCATTATAATTTACGAAATAGCACCACTAATGAGACTGAGGGAAGTTTACAAAAGAGGCGAAGAAAGGGAAAATTAAAAATGTCTGCAGAAGGTGCTAAGCAATTATTGGACACCTGTAAGGAAATTGTTGGCGATAAAGTTGACTTAACATCGTGGCAAGAGAAAATTCAGGAGGAAATGAATTCGGAATATGATTTAGATGATTTGGGAAGAAAGGATAATGTGACTGTTCTGGAAAAGGATTTGAGCTATTTTGAGCATGAAAAATTTAAAAATGGTGTATTAACTATCGGTTGTCTTGGCACTCCGAATGTTGGAAAGTCTTCCTTAATGAATGCCATAATGGGTAATTTATTTATATTAATTATTATTTTTAAAAATGAATTAAGAGAAGAGACCGCTGAAATTTTAACCCATCTAAATATTTTTTTTCTATTTATGGGTTTTTCAATTTTCTTTCTAATAATTTAAAGTATTAGAAATTATAATATACTTTGGAAAATTAAAAAAAAAACAATTTATTAATTAGTTAAAATTTTGTTAAAATAAAGCTCGAAATTTTCAAAAGATTAATTTAAATTTAAATTTTAATTTAATTTAATTTTGATTATTTTTCATAGACAATTTTTAATAGGATTTTTTGTGAATCTAAATAATCAATTGAATCAATAATCAATCATTATTTTTAAATTTTTGCAGTACCTACCTAATAAAAGTTTTCAAAAATTTTAATTTGAAAATATTTGATATTATTTCTATCAACTCTTATTGTAATCCATACAAAATTTAATTGTTTTTTTTACAATTTTTTACTAAACTTCTACTCTAAGTCAATTGAATTTTTTCAATATTTTTCCAAAGTTCTTCGAGAATTCCATTATTCAAATAAAAAATACAATTTTAGCTTTAAAATTAAATTAGATTTTCTTAAAAATTTATTTTACTTTTTTGTAGATAATTGAGTTTTTAATAATTATATTAGAAAATTCTAAGAATTAGTGTTTTAAAAATATTATAAAGTTTTTATTCGGAAATAATTGAGATTTTAAGAAGAACTTTTTAACGATTAAAAAAATTTTAAATTATTTTTTGAAATAAGAAGTTTAATTAAAAAGTGTTTTCTGCAAAATTTTAATAATAGTTGAATTCTAATAAATAATTAGCTATTAAATTTTACAAAAATAATTGAATTCTTTTGAGAAATTTTATTAAAATCATATATTGAAAATAATTAAATTTCTGCGAAGAATTTTATTAGTTATGGAAAATAATTTCATTCTAACAAAGAATTTAATAAATAAAATTTAGTTTTTGTTAAAAATAATTTAATTTTTTTGCTGAATTTTATAAAAAATATTTTAAATTAAATTCTTTCGTGGATTTTAATTGAAGTTGCATTGAAAGTAATTGAATTCTTGTAAAGATTATTGAAAATAATTGAATTCTTTTGAAACATTGTATCATATTAAGTTTGAAATAATTTAATTCTTATAGACAATTTTACAAAAAACTTACTGAAAATAATTGAATTCTTTCGAAGAATTTTATTTTAATATTGCCTTGAGAATATGAAAAGTAATTGAATTTTAAAAAATTCATTTGAAGATTTAATTAAAATTTTTAAGAACTCAATTATTTTCTAAATTTGCAATTAAAATTCTCTAAAATTTGTTTTTTAAAAAGTTTAATGAAAAACTTGAAGAAGAAATGAATTAGTTTCAATAAAATTTTACAAAATTTCAATTATTTGAAAACCTTTTTCCTTATTAATTTAACCTTCGCGCTACCAAAGATTTTTGTATACGCGGACTACCGGCTGGCCACACGGTGTGGCCAAACGCTATTTTACTTTTATGTTCCCAAAACGATTAAAATTCATCAAAGCTTTTGTATATAGTTATGTGTTAATACAAATTAACTGAAAAATTTTGTCCAGTGAGTTAAAATGGCGATTCGATTGATTACAAAAGTCGAGCAGATATACAACATTATGTATACTTGGCCACACCGTGTGGCCAGCCGGTAGCGCGAAGGTTAAAAAATTTAACCATAAAAGAGCGATTCAAAAATAATTTTTGGAATATTTAATTTCTAATTATTTTTCACACCAAAAAAATCGAAACAAGTTGCAATTTATACCAAAAAAGTGGAATTTTGTTGCGATATTTGAAAGAAAAGTTGAAAATGTCGTATTTTTTAAAATATAAATTAAAATCTGAGGCCTGTCTAAGGGAAAAATTTTCTTTTCGTGATTTTATATTTGTTTTCTTCTTTCAGGTAAAAAAGTGGTGAGTGTTTCGCGAACACCGGGCCATACGAAGCATTTTCAAACAATTTTCCTAACAAAAACAGTATGCCTCTGCGATTGTCCGGGATTAGTTTTCCCATCAATTGCACCGAAACAATTGCAAATATTAATGGGATCGTTTCCAATTGCTCAAGTTAGAGAGCCATACACTGCAGTGAAATTTTTAGCCGAAAGAATAAATTTACCGCAATTACTGAAATTACAGCATCAAGACAATGATGACACTTGGTCGGCAATGGATATTTGCGACAGTTGGGCCGCTAAGAGAAATTATAAGACGGCCAAAGCGGCTAGACTCGATTCTTATAGAGCCGCGAATTCATTGTTGCGAATGGCCTTAGAGGGAACAATATGTTTATTTATTTATCCGCCTGGTTGGTCGACAGATAGAGGTATTTATTTCGAAAGAATAAAATTAAAGAAAAAAACAAAAAGAAATTCAAAAACAAAAAAAGATTAAACTATATCTAAGAAAAGTAACTATCAAAATAAATGTTTAGTAATTTACGTTAATTAATTAATTGATTTTAGATTCAATTTAATTGAAATTCAATTTTAATTAATTTTCAATTCAATTTAATTAAAATTCCATTTCTATGACCAAATCAATTCAATAAAAATTCAATTTTATAATTATTTTGAAGTCAATTTAATTTAAATTTCAAATTAATTTGAAGTTCAATTTAATAAAAATTCAATTTATTCAAACTTCAAATCAAATTTAAATTAATTTTGAATTCAATTCAATTAACATTCAAACAAAATTTACATTAATTTTGAATTCAATTCAAAAAAGTTCAAATCATATTTAAATTAAATTTCAATTTAATTTATTTCAAATTAAATTTGAAATTCGTTTTATATTCAATTTAATTAATATTCAAACAAAATTTACATTAATGTTCAATTTAATTTAATTTAAAACTAATTTTGTATTCAATTTATTCAAATTTAAAATCAAGTTTACATTAATTTTAATTACTTTCAAATTCAATTTCAAATTCATTTTATATATTGAATTTCTTCAAACAAAACAAATTAATATTAATTAATATTAAAAAAAATTTACATTAATTTTGTACCTATTAAATTGAATAAATCTTCAAATCAAAACTTAAATTAAATTTCAATTCAATTAAATTCAAATTCAATTTTAAATTCATTTTATATTCAATTTATTCAAAATTTATACATAAAATTTAAATTAATTTTGATTTCAATTTAATTTTAATTCAATTTTAAACAAATTTTGTATTCAATTTATTCAAAATTCAAATCAAATTTAAATTAATTTTGAATTCAATTCAAACTTAAATTAAATTTCAATTCGTCAATTTAATTTTAATTCAATTAATTTCAAATTTAATTTTAAATTCATTTTATTACTTTATTCAAATTTTACATGAAATTTAAATTCATTTTGAATTCAATTGAATTAAAATTCAAACAAATATACATTAATTTTTAATTAATTTTTAATTCAATTCAATTGAAATTAATTTTATATTCAATTTATTCAAAATTGAAATAATATTTTCATTTTTAATTTAATTCAATTAAAATTCAAATCGAATTTAAATGAAATTTCAATTCAATTTAATACTACTTTTGTATTCAATATATTCAAAATTCAAATTAAATTTAAATTAATTTTTATTTCAATTTAATTGATATTTTAACAAAATTTACATTAATATTGAATTCAATTCAATAAAACTTCAAATCAAACTTAAATTAAATTTCAATTCAATTTAATTTTAATTCAATTAATTTCAAATTTATTTTATATTCAATTTATTCAAAATTCAAATCAAATTTAAATTAATTTTGAATTTAATTTAATTAATATTCCAACAAAATTTACATTAATTTTGAATTCAATTCAATAAAACTTCAAATAATTTTTAAATTATATTTCAATTCTATTAATTTCATATTAATTTTATATTCAATTACATTAATGTTCAATTTAATTTAATTTAAAACTATATTTTAAATTCAATTTAAAACCAATTTTGTATTCAATTTATTCAAAATTAAAATCAAATTTACATTAATTTCAATTTGTACTTTCAAATTCATTTTATATATTGAAACAAAACAAATTAATATTAATTAATATTTCAACAAAATTTACATTGATTTTGAATTCAATTCAATAAAACTTCAAAACAAACTTAAATTAAATTTCAATTAAATTTAATTTTAAATTCATTTTATATTCAATTTTGTTCAAAATTCAAATCAAATTTAAATTAACTTTGAATTGAATTGAATTAATTTTCAAACAAGATTTACATTAATTTTCAATTAATTTTATATTTAATTTATTCAAAATTGAAATAAAATCTTATTTAATTTTGAATTGAATGTAATTAAAATTCAAATCGTATTTAAATGAAGTTTTAATTCAATTTAATTTAAATTCAATTTAGAATTATTTTTGAATTTAATTGAATTAAAATTCAATTTTAAATTAATTTTGTATTCAATGTAATAGTAAAATTCATTTAATTAAATAATTAACTAGTAATCAATTAGAGTAATTGAAATTGATTGAGAAAAATACACATAATAAATTAATCTAGTAATTCATTAAAATTCATCAGAACTGAATTTGAATTCAATTCAATTAAATTTCAATTTTAAATTAATTTTGAATTTAGTTTAACGTAAAAATAATTTCCAATGCAGAATCATTGGAAACTCACCCGGATATGGAGATAGTGAAATGGATTCAAGCGAAAAGTGCAACTGAAGACAAGAGCAAATATTCCGTCTCTGAAGATGAAGAAAGTGAAAGTTTCGAGTCCGAATTGTCAAGTAAAGAAAGCACTGATTCAAATAATTCAGACGATGAGATTAAATCTGAGACGTCGGAGGCGACAAACAAATTTGAAATTTTATCCACTACAAAATAAAAAAAGGTAATAATTGAATTACAAAAAGAAAGCTGAGTTATTAAATTAAGTACTAATTTTTTATTTTCATAACTATTTCTTCACAGCTTTTGTATTTTTCAAGGAAGATTAATTTTTCTAAATAAAATATTTTTGCGATATTTTCCGCGATCTTATTTACAATACATAGATTTCTTCTTTTTTTTCATTGATAATTACAATAATTATTACAGTAAAATATTTGTTCGTTTAATATACGAAGCATTTAAAATACACGAAAAGGAATTACAAATTTATCGAGAATTTTTTTTTATAATTTACTGCACGAAATTGGGTTTTATTAAAAATTATTATTCATGCAGTAGTTTATAAAAGAAAAATCATCGATTTTCTTCTGCTAATATTTGCAATTTATGGCCTTTAAATGTGTAGTAACTATAATGAAGTGTATAAAAAAGAATTTTTGTGCATCACATTAGAAATTTTTTTCTAATAAATTTTTTTTATATTTTAACTTATTTTTCTTTTAAATATAAATTATTGTATAGTTAAAAATTGAAATATAGTTTTTTAAAATTTGATAGTCATGCAATAAGTCAATGTAAAGATATAATAGATTTTTGTGAAAATATTCTAGTTTTAGCTGAGCAATAAAATTCTTTGGATTATTTAATTTTTTTTTTTTTTGTATACAATATTTGAAGTTGGATTTTCTTTCTCCAAATTTAGGCACCTAAGAGCTTTTTTACGCTGTAGCCGGGAATGGCGTAGAAGAAGAGAATAATTAAAATTATCAATGCAATAACGAAAGTTGCTTTCAATATGGCCCATTTATAATTATGCCAAACGATATATTTTATTGATTTCAGTGGATTCACGAACCACATGAAGGAAGCGTCTGGCCGACTGAAAATAAATATATTTTTAAAATAAAACAATTTTTGTAATAAAAGGAAAAATTGAAAAAAAAATGAAATGAAAGACCTACTTTGGTTTATCAAGTGGATCAGGTTCATTTCTACCGAAACCGGCTGTATTTCTTTCAGCTTCTTCTTTCGTTAATAAATGTATTTCAGCTTCAACTTTTCCCTAATGAGATGAGTTAATAAAAATGAAGAGATTATTTTCAAAAATATGAAAAGATTATAATTATTTTTATTATAATAAAAACATACCGTTAATTCCATTTCGTCGTTTTCCTTTTTCACGTAAAACGGCCACCAGCCTTTAATTCTTTTTTGCTTAAATATATTAACAGTTGGAACTGAACCGTCATTTTTCAACATACTTAATGTACATAATTTACTGTTTTTCGCACCCCGTGGAAATCGATTTAAATCGAGTGTCAACGCACCGAGAAAATCGTCCGATGAAAAATGATCAGAATCCCAGACCTGCGAAAAAAAAATCATTTTTTGAGATTATACATTTAGAAAATGCAGGCAATAAAAAAAAGAAAAAATAACTTAAAAATACATATTCCATTCTCTTTATATTCAATCTATACCTATATTTATATTAATATTCGTACCTATTTCGGATGTTTGTTCACAGTTTGAAATTATTTCCTAATTTCTTATGATAATTTTTATTTTAAATGTTTTTAATTTTATAAAATTCTAAAAAATTCAAATTATTTTCAACAAAATTTTAATAAATTTTTTCGAGAGAATTCAATTATTTCTTTAAGTAGTAAAATCTTTGCAAAGATTCATTATTTTCAATAAAATTTCGCGAAAGAATTCAATTTTTCTTATAAACAGTAAAATTTCTTGCAAAAATTCAATTATTTTCTAAAATTTTTATAAATCCTTCAAAACAATTCAATATTATTTTCAATAAAATTTCAGGAAAGAATTAATTTTCTTACTTAATTCGCTATAAAAAGTTTCAAATAAATTCAATTATTTTTTAAAAATTTTAATAAAATTCAATAATTAAATGTTCAATTTCAATAATTAACAAACACGATTATTTGAGAAACTTGAAATAAATTGTTCATAAAATTCAATTACTTTCAAAATTTTCAATTCAAATTATTTTTAAAAAAAATTATTTTAAAAAATTCAAAGAAATTTTTTAGAAAGAATTTAATTAGAATTTTAAAAAATTTTAATAAAATTCTTCGCGAGAATTAAATTATTTTCCTAAATAATAAAATTGTTTGAAGCAATTCAATTATTGTCAACTTTTTTGATAAGATTCTTTGCAATAATTCGATGATTTTCAATACATTAATTTTAAAATTGAAAATATTTAAAAAAGAAAAATATTATTAAAAAAGTTAAGAAACAAAAAAGCAAACAACAACTAATTTCAAACTACGAGCAGATTACCGGAATAGAACGATTATTAATATAGATTATATTAATTTGATGAAAATAATTGAATTCAAGTTAACACAAAATACTTCAATTCTATGGAAACAATTTTTTTGAAATTTTAAAAATAATTGAATTATTTCGAAGAATTTTATTCAAATTGTGTTGAATAAAATTAAATCCCTTCGAAAAGTTTTACATACTAGTTATGAAAATAATGGAATTAATGTTAAGAACTTTATTCTTTAAGAAATAATTGAATTTCTGCAAAGAATTTTACTATTTTTGAAAATAATTGAATTCTTGACCAAAATTTTATTTTTTTTTAAAATAATTGCATTTCTGTAAAGAATTTTCCATTTTTATAAAAAATATCTGAATCCTTGTGAACAATTTTCTTAAAATTTTTAAAAGTAATTGAATTGTTACGAAAAATTTTATAAAAAGTTTCAAAAATAATTTTACTTATTACCAAGGATTTTATTAATTAATGAATTAGTAAATTAGTTCATATGTAAAATTTCTAAATTTTGAAAATGAAATTAAGCAAAGATTAAAGTTCACATTTAGTCTTTTTTGTTTGCTGTTTTGTTTCCGAATTTTTTTATGCTTTGACTTTAAAACAATAAAATTCTAATTAAGTATTTGAAAGAATTAATAATAACAAAAATTCATTTAACAAAATTGATTCGAAATAAAACATAAAAAGATACCATTTTTATTTTAAAAAATGTGTTCTAATTTTTGTATCTTTAATAATTTCTTTTTTTAAAAATAATTGAATGTTTACATAGAATTTTTATTATAATTTTTTTTCAAGAAATTTAACTAAAATTTGTATTAAAAATCAGTTTTTACATAGAATTATTTAAAGTTTTTGGAATTTTTTGAATTGTTTCGAAGAATTTTATTAAAATTTTTGAAAATAATTGAATTCTTTCGAAAAAATTTATAAAATAATATTGAAAATAATTGAATTCCTGGAAAGTTGCTTATTATTTATAAAAATGCTTGAATTCTAGGGAAGAATTTTATTAAGATTTTTAAAAATAATTGATTCGTTGCGAAAAATTTGATTAGAATTTTTGAAAATAATTAAATTCTTTCGAGGAATATAATTGAAATTGTATTAAAAGTAATGAAATTATTACAAAGAATTTTATTATTTTTCAAAAATAATAATAATTGTTTCAGCGAATTTTAATATTTATAAAACTAATTGAATTCCTGATAAAAATTTTATTATTTATGAAAATAATTAAATCCATCAGAACGATTTTGCTATTTCTAAAAACAATTAGAATCTATAAGAAGAATTTTATTACAATTTTGAAAATTGTATTGAGAATAATTGAATTTTTAAAAAGAATTGCAAAATTTAGGAAAATAATTGAATTCCTTTTGAAGAATTTTAGTATTTTTGAAAGTGATTAAATTGAATCAAAAGAATTTTATCAAAATGTTGAAAATAATTGAATTCTTCCGCGATTTTTTATTAAAATTATATTGAATGGATAAATTAAAAATAATTGAATTCCTGCAAAGAATTTTATAATTTGTAAAAATAATTGAATTCTTGAGAAGGATTGTATTAAAATTTTTGGAAATGTTTGAACTTTTTTTAATCATTTTATGAAGATTTAAAAGAATAATTCAATTACTTTGGAAATCAATTTAATTAAAATTGATATTAAAAATAATTGAACTCTTGCGATGAATTTTATTTTTTATAAAAATAATTTAATTCTTATATAAACGAATGTTATCAAAATTTTAGAAAATAATTAATTTCTTTCAAAGAATTTTATTAAAATACTTAAAAAAAATTGATTTCTTTCGAAAACTTATCTTGAAAATCGTATTTCAAATAATTGAATTCTTGCGAAAAATTTTCTCAAAATTTTTGAATTTTTTCTAAGAAGAGTTTTGTTAATATTTTTTAGAATAATTGTTTTATTTCAACTATTAGTTGATTTAAAGTAGTGTAAATTAAAAAAAAGAGTGGCTTCTAGTTTTACAAATTTAAAAAAAGTATAGTTGCCTGTAATTCCAAACGAGCTGGAATCTTGCATTCAGTTTCATCCCAACTGAATAAACTTTCTTTTCGATTAATAACAATCTTCTCTTCGGCGACGAGATAATCGAACGGAAATATAAAACGCCAATTAAAATTCCCTTCGCCAGTTAATGAACGATAGTGAATATCCGTTGACTGACAATCTTCTGGTCCCTTTAACCATCTAATAAAATTGAATTAAATTAATATTGAAAATTAAATTCCTACTCGAATATAATTATTTTTGTAATATATTTTTACCCTTTTACATAAATGTCGCTCATTTTTTCACCAGTGAAAAAAGCATCATCTTCAAGAACCACATCGTCCGTGTTCCAAATGATTATTCTGAGCTCATAACTTTTTGGTTTTCTCGGCGATATATCGAGAGGTGGGCCTGGCAAAGGCATATCCATTGGAAACATGTCGACCCACATTTCCAATTTACCCTGTTCAATTCCTGGTTTCTCGGGATTATATAACGAACGGCATTCAATATGCTCGGGAACTAAACTGCATCCAATTCGAGGAAACGCGTTCCATTGATGAAGCACCGCCAAAGCCAAGTGTTCTTCCATAGCTAAAATAATTTATTTTTATTCGAAAATGTTTAATTTACACTATCGTCCGTGAGTATCAGGACGCCCCTTTTTTCATGAGTGGAAAAATGAAACGTAGAAAATAAGAATGACAAAAATTTTTCGTATTTTTTTCCTGAAAACTAATGAAATTATGAAAAGACTGACACCTGATCGAAGAATTTTCGTTGACTATTCTGTCAGATACAGAAAAAATACTGGATTTTGCATGCTTTTCGTAATTTTTTAATTTCTCGAAAACTAATTAACTTTTATTAGCGCTCTTGGTCTTGTTTTAATCTCTATTTAATGTAGAATCTAAATTAATTAATGGTATTGTGATATAAATTTTTCCAAAAAAATTTGAAACCGTAAAAGTAGGATTAAAAAAATTCAAAAAATTATCATGAATATTAAAGTGTCAAAAAGGTCAATGTAAAATATGTTCATTTAATAGATATACTAAAATTCAAAAAAGCTTTTTAATTACTTAATTATTTAATTTAAAAAAAATTTTTTTTTTGTTGAAAAAGTGTCAATCTGTTTTTCAAAATTTTTTTATCCAACTTCCACAGTTTCAAATTTTTTTGGAAAAATTTATATCACAATACCATTAATTAATTTAGATTCTACATTGAATAGAGATTAAAACAAGACCAAGAGCGCTAATAAAAGTTAATTAGTTTTCGAGAAATTAAAAAATTACGAAAAGCATGCAAAATCCAGTATTTTTTCTGTATCTGACAGAATAGTCAACGAAAATTCTTCGATCAGGTGTCAGTCTTTTCATAATTTCATTAGCTTTCAGGAAAAAAATACGAAAAATTTTTGTCATTCTTATTTTCTACGTTTTAAGCATTTTTCCACTCATGAAAAAAGGGGCGTCCTGATACTCACGGACGGTAGTGCAATTAAACACTTTAAATATATTTTTATTTAAATGATTCCTTACCCTTGGAGTGGATATAAAATTCCATTTCTTCCTTTGCGATGGAAAAGGTTTTTCTTCCGATTGAAACACGTCCTGGAGTATAAACGGGACCATCTATTTTCGCATCCTTACAAAGTTTTGACAATATTTGCGTCGGTTTCATAGCGTCCCGCCATTTATTATAACCAGATCTGAAATTCAATTAAAATTATAAAATTTAATTTTTTTTGCATTGTAACAGGGTTTGTATATAAATTTAATTTTTTAATTTTTCTTAAAAAGAAATTTTCTTAACTTACTCGTCGTATCTTCGTGGAATTCCACAAACTGCTCGATGCCTACTGTAAAATCGATTTTCCAAATCAATTTTTGTCTCGCCAATCATATCATCAGAACCAACTAAATCCCAGTCTAAAATTTGCACAGTCAATAATGAATCCTGAGGAAAAGTCGCTTCAATTTCAAAACACCTGAAAGTAAATATATTATATTAAAATTTATTTCAATTTTGTAATTTTTCTATTAACAGGCCTCGGATCGAATAAACTTTAATTATTTTCTACTATTTTTAAATAAACTTCTTCAATAAGTAAATTTTTATTTTTAATAACTTCATGGAATTTTTATAATTTCAAATTATTTAAAAAATGTCCAATTTTCGTGAAAAATAAATAAAATACAATTTCTTCAGTATAATTTTTATTAACTTTTAGTTTCAAATCTTCATTCAAGATTTCTGTTTATTAAAATTTTGAAGAAGTCAATTATATTTTTAAATTAGCAATTAAAATTCTTCCAAATTTGTTTTCAAAAAATTGTAATGAAATAGATAATTAAAATTTTTTAAAAATTTGTTGGAAAATATTAAATTGTTCAAAATAATTCAATTCATTCGTAAAATTTTATTATTTATGAAAATAATTGAATTCTTGAGAAAAATCTGTTCAAAATATGATATTTAATTTATTATTATTATTATTATTATTATTATGCAAATTACAAAATTTTTTATTTGCAAATAGAAACTTCTATTTTTGAATAAATTCAGTTTCAAAATTTAAAATAAATCTACTTTAGTAATTAATATTAGATATATTTTATTATTTTCAAAAATTTTAATAAAATTCTTCGCAAAAATTCAATTTTTTTCCTAAATAATAAAATTTTTCGGAAGAAATCAATTTTTTATATAATTCATTTTTTTTTATAAAATTTCACGTAAAGGATTCAATTATTTTCTAAAATTTTAATAAATTCTTGAAAACAATAGAATTTTTTTTATAATTAGTAAAATTCTTTAAAAGAATTCAATTATTTATATCAATAATAAAATTCTTCAAAGAAATTCAATTATTTTCAAATCTTTTGATAAAATTATTTTCCAAAATTCAATGATTTTCAATAAATTAATTTAAAAATTGAAAACATTGAAAAAGAAAACTTATTTAAAAAGTTAGAAAACAAAAAAACACACAAACTACGAAATAAATTCCTGCGTAGAATTTTACTTTTTCTAAAAATAATTCTATGCAAAATTAAAAAAAAATTTAAATAATAGAATTGTTTTGAAGAATTTTATCAAAAAATTTTCAAAAAAATTGAATTCTTTAAAGAAATTACTTAAATTGTATTAAAAATAATTGAATTTTGGCAAACAATTTATTTATAAAAAATAATTGAATTCTAGCAGAGAATTTAATAAATAAATTGTTAAAAATTATTGAAATCTTTCTTTTAATTAAATATAATGTTTTGTGGAATTTAATTGAAATTGCATAGAAAGTAATTGAATTCTTAATAAAAAATTTTAACAACATTTTTTGAAAATAATTTTCTTTAGTAGAATTTTGTTAAAATTTTTGAAATTAATTGAAGTGTTTCTGTGATTATGACAAAATTTTCGAAATTACATTTTTTCGAGCAATTGAATTAAATTTGTACCTTCTAAAAATAATTCAATTCACTTAAAAATGTATTGTTATTTCAAAAAAAAAATAATTGAATTCTTTTTAAAAATTCCATTAAAATACGGAAAGTAATTGAATTTAAAAAAATTATAACAAAAAAATTCTAAGAATTACTTTTTTAACAAATATTTTAATACAATTTTTTGAAGATAATATTCATTAATTTTCATTTTCGAATTTTCATTTGAAGATTTATCGTTAAAATTTTTAAGAACTGAATGATTTTCAGAATTTGCATTGAAAATTCTCGAATATTTGATATTCAAAAATATTAATGAAAGATTTAAGTTCTAATTGTTTTACACACTATAAAAATCAAAACAATTTGCAATTTATACCAAAAAAGTGGTAATTTGTTAAAATATTTGCAAGAGAAGTCAAGAAAATCTAATTTTTTGAAAATATGTCGAAAAATTTTGCCTTTTCTGAAAATAATTGGTAAAAAAAAAATTTCGAAAATAATTCGAAAAAAGAGTCCTTTTTTGAAAATAATTCGTAAAAAGTGTCCTCTTTCGAAAACAGTAAGAAAAAATAAAAAAAAATCACACTATCCAAAGCCTGTTATTAACCAAAACTACTAACTTTCCAAAAACTGGATTCAATTGCTTGGACACGTAATTTTCCTTATCACTGATTCTTTTACCGCCAAGTTGAAGGACAATGTAAGGATCGGCCTTTCCATTCAAATCGGAAGGATGCAAATCATTAGCCTTAACAATATAAACTCTAACGAGCACGTGAATTGGTTCGTTAGATGGTAAACCTTGAAAAAATCCATCTTGAGGATCAAAACCCATAATTGTATGATCGATTAAATCTTTTGGTAATGGTAATTTATAAACTTTTAATGCGCCCTTAAAATTGCCAACAATTCGTGATTCATCTTCGGGTTCGTCGTTTGTTTTTTTACCACGATAAAGTTCAAATGAATGTAGCCATTCTTTGAAATGTTCAAATTCCAATTGTGCCTCCAATTCCTTGGGATAAATTTTTAATAGGGCAATTCTATTATAATGCTTCTTGCGCGTTACATGTTTGGGACTTAATTTTGCCACAAAACGCGCGGCATTTGACGATGATTTTAAACTAAATAATTTTTTTGTCGATTGAACACCAGGACTTTTGTCGTGTGTCACAATCATTTGACTGTTTGTGAAATCTTCTTCGAAAAAATTTGGTATATTCTCATTATTGTTGCGGGAATTTGGAAATATTGATTTTTCACGACGAATTTCTTTATTTTCCTCTATTACGGCTTCAATTGAGGCAAAATATTTTGTCCACCAGTCTTGACAGCCATCATCATCGTCAAGTGATTCCAAATCACCTATTCAAGTTCAATTTAAGCAAAAAATTTTATGTTGAAAATTAAAAAATTTTAATTTAATTTGATTAGAAATTAAAACAAAAATAAATACATAATTGAATTGAAAATATAAAAACAATTGTTTTAGTTTTATTTACAAACCTGCGCTACCATCTGTAACTAAACTCTGCTTTCTTCGTATATTTTGTTCAGTTTTGTCTTTCTTCGATGACCATTTCATTAATTCACAGCCCAATATTATAGTTGTATCGCCATTATTATGTTCAAATTCGGTAGTAAATGAATCTGAAAAAAATAAAATAATCCATTATACCTATTATGGTTAAATCCAAAGTCGTTGTAGTTATTTTCAAAATGTTTAATTAGAATTCTTAAAAAATACGATTATTTTTAGAAATAATTTTTAAAAGTAAAAAATGCAATTCCTTAAAATGTAAATTTCATTTCTATTAATCAAGTAAATTTAATAAAATTTATAATTGTTTAAATTTTTTAAAATTAATGTCGGGTACTCAATGATTTTCAATATTTAAAAATTTTTCAATATAAATCTAATTTTTCCTCAATTTCTAAACTGAAATTCTAAATTCGAAACAATTCAAATATTTTAAAAATTGTAATAAAATTCTTCTTGTAGAATTTAATTATTTCCAGAAATACTAAAATTCATCGCATGAATTCAATTATTTTCATAAATAATAAAATTCTTCGTACCGATTCGATTATTTTTGTAAATATTAAAATTCTTTGAAACAATTCAATTATTATTATTATTTTTGAAAAATAATAAAATTTTTTGTGATAATTTAATTATTTTTAATACAATTTCAATTATATTCCTCGAAAGAAATTAATTATTTTCAAAAATTTTAAGAAAATTCTTCGAAACGATTCAATTTTTATCAAAAATCTTAACTCAATTTTTCGACAGAATTAAAATATTTTTATAAATAATAAAAACCTTTCCAGGAATTCAATTATTATCGACATAATTTTATACAAATTTTCGAAAAAATTCAATTATTTTTAAAAACTTTAATAAAATTCTTGGAAAAAATTTCAAAAATTTAAATTAAATTCTATGCAAAAATTCTATTATTTTCAATACCTACAAATTTTAATAAAATTTCTCGAAAAAGAAAAATTGTAATAAAAATTCTGTGCAAAAATTAAAATATTTCCAAAAAAAATACTTCATTATGTTTAAAATTCAAAGTATAACTAAATTCGAAAATAAAACAGCTAACAAAAAAACTAAACATCAACATTAATTTTTGATTAATTTCTTTTTAAAAATTTAAAAATTTTACTTGTGAACTAATTAACTAATTCATTAATTAATAAATTTTGAAAATTATTCGCAAGAATTTAAGTATTTTTACGAAAATTGAAAAATCTTTACAGAAATTCAATTATTTTCATAAAGAACAAAATTTTTGGCAAGAATTCCATTATTTTTATAAATGATAAAATTCTTTGCTAAACTTCAATTATTTTCAAAAATTTTAATAAAATTCTTTGCAAAGATTCAATTATTTTCGTAAATTGAAGTAAAAATCATCCCAAAAATCCACTTATTTTCATTAATAATAAAATTCTAGGCAATAATTCAATTATTTTTTCAAGTATTTTTACGAAAATTAAAAAACTCTGCAGAAATTCAATTATTTTCGTAAAGAACCAAATTTTTGGCAAGAATTAAATTATATTTATAGATAATAAAATTTTTCGCTAAACTTCAAATATTTTTAAAAATCTTAATAAAATTCTTCATATAAAGATACAATTATTTTCACTTACAACAATATTCTTTGAAAAGAATTCAATTATTTTCGTAAATTGAAAGAATAATCTACACAAAAATTTACTTATTTTCATTAATAATAAAATTCTACGCAATAGTTTAATTATTTTTATTAATAATAAAATCCTTTGTAGGTTTCAACTATTTCCAATACAATTTTAATAACATTCTTTGAAACAATTGAATTCTTTCCAATACAGTTTCAATAAAATTTCTGAAAAGAATTCAATTATTTTTAAAAATTCCTACTATTCTTCTAACATTCAATTAGTTTCTAAACTTTAAAACTTAAATTAATTTTTAAATCAATTATTTTTCTCAATTTTTCAAATGATTTTCGATAATTAAATTACTTGAACACAAAAAATCAATATTTTTAAAATAATTGTAATTCATTGTCCTCGTAATTTTTTTTTTAAAAAGTTTTAAAACTTTGAAAATACGTGGCTGAAAATATTAAAAATATTTAATTTTTAACAAATTATGATAAAAAATTTTTGAAATTAATTTCTTAAAAATAATAAAAATATTTTTGAAAAAAAATATATTCTTCAAATACATATTATGGATTTGAAAATTTGCAATTAATTGAAATTTAGTAAAATTTCTTGAAAATAATTGAAATTAAAAACATAAGAAAAAAATTTTAGAAATTAGTTTTTTAAATAATGTAAATTTTTGAAAATAATTGAATTTCTCAAAAGAATTTTCACAGAGGTTAAAAAAAAGAATTTTTTATAGAATTTTAATTAAAAATTTCCAAAATTCAATTATTTCTAAAATTCACGCCATAATGCTGTTAACATTCAATTATAATCTAAAAATTTTTATCTGAAATTCATTTTCAAATCAATTTTTATTAAAAAATTCTTCGAGAATTCAATTATTTAAATACAAAAATAAATAATTTATTGAATAATTGAATGTTTCTTAAAATTTAATTCCTATAAAAAATTTGATCAACTTTTGGAAAATTTTATTACAATAGTAGATATTAAAAATCATTGAATTGAGGGAAATTATTGAAAATATTTGAAATTTTCCCAAGAATTTTATCACTTTTGAAAATAATTGAATTTTAGAGAATTTTCTTATTTATAAAGATAATTGAAATTTTTGCGAGATTTAAAAAAAATTTTTGAACATAATTGGAGAGAAATTTCTTTCATTACCTGGAGTACATTGCAATTGAAACAAACTCTTTTTTCTTTCCTCTAAATCTCGTGCCCTTTTTGTATGCGGTGTGTACATATATTTATGAATGGAATTAATTGTATGAGTTCCGACAAGCGTATAACGTCCAAAGCTCCGACAATCAACGGCTCTGATAGTCAGTGGTGGTCGATAAAGTTCCTGCTCCGGTAAATCTAATTCGAGAAACTTTATTGGTGTATTAAAATTCGGATTCTTCTTTGCGTTCGATATAATAGATGAATACAGTATGTGACCAGCACATTCAACATCCACTCTTGGCTTGTCCACCGTCAGCAAATGAATTCTTTTCAAGTCTCGTAAACCCCAAAATAATACTTCAATTCTGTTGGGAAATAATATTTTATAAGTTAAAATTACATTTTCTATTTTCATAAATTTTAGAATTTATTTTCGTCAATTTTGCAATTAATAATTAAGGCTTTGCACTCGTTAATTAATTTTAAAAAAGTATCAAAAAGTAGATTTAAGACTGAAAGGAAGTAATAAAAATGTTTATATCGAAAAATTAAATTTGATGGCTGGAAATTGAAATAAATATTTTTAAATTTTTAAACTTTTATGTCGATTAACATTTTCGAAGAATTCAATTTAAAAATTTTCTAAAAATTAATTATTTCTTAAAAATTCTGTTATAAAGCTTCAAATATTCAATTTTTTTCAAAATTTTAACTGAAGTTCTTTTTTAAATCAATTCTTATTAGAATTCAACTACGAGAATTGCATTATTTTAGTAGAACAATTTTTGTAAAATTCAATTATTTTCTAAATTTTTAGTTTCAATTTTTCAAAAATACAATTATATTTAAAAATAATTATTATAAGTAACTTCAACTAAAATGACATTTATTAAATCAATTCTTATTAGAATTCAATTATTTAAAAAAAAAATTGATAAAATAATTGATTATTTCTTAGAATTGAATATTTATAAAAAATTTTATCAAAATTTTTGAAAGTAATTGAATTCTAGAGAATAATTTTATTGTTAATAAAAATACTTGAATTCTTGCAAAGAATTTTATTACAATTTTTGGAAATAATTGAATTTTTTGAATTATTTTATGAAAATTTAAAAGATTATTTTATAAAATTTTCATAAAAATTATTTTAAAAAATTAATTCAATTGTTTCGAATAATTTCATTGAAATTGTATTAAAAATAATTGAATTCTTATAATAAATTTTATTATTTATGAAAACAAGTTAATTCTTGCAATGAATTTTATTATTTATGAAAATAATTTAATTCTTATAAACAAATGTTATCTTTTAAATTAATTTTTATTAAAAATTTCTATGAGAATTCAATTATTTAAATATAAAAATAAATAATTTATTCAATAATTAATTACTTCTTAACAATTGATTTCTCATCAAGAATTTTATAAACAAATTTTTAAATAATTGAATTCATTTGACAAATTTCAATATAAAAATTCTATTAAAAATAATTCAAATTCTGCGATGAGTTTTATTATTCATGAAAATAATTTAATTCCTAAAAAGAATTTTATTATTGATGAGAATAATTGAATTATTGCGAAGAAATTTATAACAAATTTGTAAATAATTTAATTATTACGAAAAAATTTATAAATAATTGAATTGTTGTGAAATTTTTATAATTTATGGAAATAATTAAATGCTTGCGAAGAATTTTATTACTTTTGGAAATAATTGAATTTGCAAAGAATTTTATTAAAAATTTCTGAAAATAATTTAATTTCTTCGAACAATTCAATTACTTTTGAAAATAATTGATTTTTGCAAAGAATTTTATTAAAATCTCTAAAAAAAATACTTAATAGAATTTCTGGGAAGAATTTTGATATTTATAAAGGTAATTGAAATCAACAGAAGAATTTTATTAAAATTTCTGAAAATAATTGAATTCTTGACAAAAATTTTGGTCTTTATGAAAATAATTGAATTTCGGCAAAGAGTTTTCAATTTTCATAAAAATACTTGAATTCTTGAGAACAATTTGTAAAATTTATTAATTAATGAATTAGTAACTTAGTTCAAAAGTAAAATTTCTAAATTTTGTAAAAGATATTAATCAAAGATTAAAGTTGACATTTAGTTTTTTTGTTTGCTCTTTTATTTCCGAATTTTTTTATGTTTTGAATTTTAAACATAATGAAATTCTAATTTGATGTTTGAAAGAATTAATAATAACAAAAATTATTTTTAAAAAATTGATTTGAATTAAAATATAAAAAGATAACATTTTTATTAACAAAAAATGTCCTAAATTTTATAAGTTTTATCATTTATTTGCTTTTGAAATAATTTAATGTATGCACAGAATTTTTATAACAATTTTTCTTTTTCGAGAAATTTAATTCTCGAAAATAACTGAATTTTTGCATAGAATTTAATTAATGTGTTTGGAACTTTTTGAATAATTGAATTCCTGGAAAGGTTTTTATTATTTATACAAAAAATTAAAAATATTTGATTTCTAGTGCAGAATTTTATTAAAACTTTTTAGAATAATTTAAATAGTAGCTAATCGTAAAAAAGTAGTAAATAGTAGATTTTAGTAGAATGAGTGCGAAGCCTGAATTTTAAATTTCTTCTATTTTGTTATTAATTTTAATAAAATTTGCATTTAATTCTTATCAAATTTGTAATTAATTTCCATCAGTTTTGTAATTAAATTTCATAAATTTTGTAATTAATTTTCATTAATTTTGCAATTAATTTTCATCAACTTTGAAATTAATTACCATCAGTTTTAGAATTAACTTTAATCAATTTTCGCAATTAATTTTCATCAACTTTGTAACTGATTTTTTAAAAAATTGATAATTATTAGCAATTCTTTATTGATTTATAAAAAAAAAATTTCAATGAATTTTTAAAATTTATATTGAAAAAAAAGAATAAAGTTTACCGATATTTTGATAAGGTTGGACGAATGCCAAGAGGAACTGGTAACATTGGTCCAACATCTTGATCCCTAAAGGGTTTGGCATCCGGAAGCGTTGGAAAGCTGAGTTCTTTTGATGCGGGATATTCGAGAAGTTCAAAAACAGCCAACAATTCACCAGCACGGCCAGCGCCTCGGGTTATCTCGAACCATTCGAGAGACGGTGGAAAATGCGGTGGTATGTACGATTCAAAGGCAAGTTTCACGTGTGGTCGTGCCAATGCACGGCCAATATATTCCGATTTTCCCTGCAAATCGATTTCAAATTTTATTATTTACGAAAAAATTTATAAAATGGTTATTTTTCTCTCTTTAGAGAAAAAAATACCTATGATTTTCAACAAAAGCACAGAGAATAGAAAGAGACAAATAAAAAAAAAATTACGAATTTCTAAGAAAAAGAAAACAAACATAACTATAACACTTAAAGAAATTTTTTTAACTAATTGTTAACAAATACTCAAAAAAACTGCTAATAAATTTCTAACAAAAATTAATTATTTACACTCTATTTTTCTCTGTGCTCTTTTTTCCTACATTCAGTCCTCGGATTGACTTTTAATAGCAAAAAAAGACACTTTAGTCAATTAAATATTCGAAGAAAGTCCGAGGCCTGCACACATTTTAAAAATTTACAAAAGTCGATAAATTCTACGATAAATACATTTGGCTTTTCTAAAATATTTACATTTCTATATAAACAATTATTTACAAGTCTAAAAACAGGTAAATGTAATTTCTCTTCATATAATTTTAGTGTATCGGAAATATTTCAAACTAAAATTACTTTATAATAAAACAATTGATTACTTGTTCAAATTGTCTGGTTAAAACCAATCCATTAATATTCATTACACTGGCAACAGATACGCGCGCAGAACACGGTACTCCAATAATTATTATTTTGTAAATTAAAAAATTTTATACTTTCAAGAAAAAAAATCAATTTTTGAATGATTACAGATTAAAATTTTAAAGAATTCACTTATTAAGTACATAATTAAATATTCTTGTTTATTATTATTCAAAAATTTTAATAACATTTCTTTCAAGAATTTCATTATTCTCATAATAAATAATAATATTTTTTAGAGCAATTCAATTATTTTCAATACAATTTTAATAAAATTTCTCGAAAGAATACAATTATTTTCAAAAATATTAATTAAATTCGATTATTTTCAAAAATTTTAATATAAATTTAATTATTTTTGATAATTTTGATGAAATTCCTTTTAAAAAATCATTATATTTTCAAAATTGTTAAAAAAATTCCTTAAAAAAATTCAATTATTTTTATAAATTCACATAAAATTCTTCTAAACAATTCAATTATCTTTATGAATTGTAAAATCCTCAACAAGAATTCAATTATTTTCATAAATAATAAAATGTTTCGGAGGAATTCAATTATTTTCAATACAATTTTAATAAAATTTCTCAAAAAAACACAATTATTTTTTTAAAAATATAATTTAAATTCAATTATTTTAAGGCGTTTAAAAAAAATTAAATTATTTTCAAAAATTCCGATAAAATTCTTCTAAAAAAATCATTTTCAAAATTTTTAATAACATTCCTTCAAAAAATTCAATTATTTCCAAAAATTTAGATAAAATTCTATGAAACAATTTAATTATTTTAATAAGAAAATTCTTCGCAAGATTGAAATATTTTCATAAATAATAAAATCCTTCAAAGGAATTCAATTATATTCATAAGTAAAAAAATATTTCGGAGAAATTCAATTATTTTCAATACAATCTTAATAAAATTTCTCGAAAGAATACAATTATTTTTAAAAATATTATTTAAATTCAATTATTTTTAACAATTCTTCGAAACAATTCAATTATTTTTATAAATTGTATTATTCTTGGCAAGAATTCAATTATTCTTGTAAATAATAAAATTCTTCTGAGAAATTCAATTATTTTTCAAAATTGTAATTAAATTTTTCTAAACAATTCAATTGTTCTCAAAAGTTTTTAATAAAATTCTTTGTAAATTTCAATTATTTTCAAAATTTTAAATTAAAATTATTTTAATAAATTAAATTATTTTTACGTATTTTAATGAAATTCTAATAAAAAATAATAATAATAATACCTAATAAAAAAAAACTCTAATAAAATTGTTTAAAAAAGAATTTAATTTTCTATGAATAATTTTAATATAATTTAATAGGAAAATTATTAATTACAATTACCTAATAATAAACATGATTATTTTAAAAAAACTTAAAAGAAAACCTTCATAAAATTCAATAATTTTAAAGAATTTTAATAAAAATCTTGCCAAGAATTAAATTATTTCCAATAGGTACAATTTTAATTACATTTTCTCGAAAGAATTCAATTATTGAAAAAATGTTAATAAAATTCTTGAAATGAATTCAATTCTCACTAAAGCAAAGAAAATGCTAAAATATAACAAGTTTTCTTTTAATTTCTCTCTAAAACCAAACAAAATGTCCAAAATCAATCGCTTTTGAATAATTCGTGTACAAATAATAATAATAATAAAAACGGGTTTTACTTGTTCGGGCTAATCAAAAACAAATGAAAGCAGGAAACGTGTGTGAAAAAAACCTAAAAGAAAAAGAAAAAATCAAGTTATTTAATTTAAAAAGAAAATTATAGTATAAAGGAAATATTGCATTCAAGTATATTTTGTTATTGTCTGCAAATGATGTATACAAACTGTTAAAGCAGACCCCTCATGCACTGTTTTTGTGTCCATAGACAGAAAATGACTCTGAAAAAATTAAGAAATTGTATGTTGAAAAATTATAGTGTATGTTTTGTGTTTAAAATGTTGTTATCTTGAATAAATGTCTCAAATGAAAATAAATTATCATTTTTCTTCCTTTCTTTTAGATGAAAGAAAAATGCAATTTTGTAATAAATAAAAATTGTAATTAAATTGCAAAAAAAACTAATTATCGAAATTAGTTGAAGAAAAAGTTATAATAAATTTTTCCTAAAACATTTTAGGAAAATTTTCTGTTTATCAATTTTTTAACTTTTTTTGTTAGTAAAATTCTGTTGAAAATTCTTACCACTTTGTCTTGATCGAATATTTCAATGACTATTGACGGTGGATCTTTTTTTATTTCCTCTTCAGTTCCAAAAATTAAAATATCGTCGAAAACTAAAAGTTCATCCCAAGTTGGACTCAATGTCTCGTCAATAACTTGTGTCGATTTGCAAAATTCTCCACAAATGACGCGTGCAAATGGATCCGAAAGACCGGAAGCGTCACTTCCAATAAGCGATCTCGCCTGATACATGTGAGCCCTCAATTGAAATTTCTGTGGAAAAAAAAAGAAATAATCCATAGAAACGATATTAATTAATTTCTTTTTTTAATATCATTTTGAACTCTTTCTATTTTCTAATTTAATTCAGAGTTATCATAAAAATTCGATTATTCAAAAATTGAATAACTTTGTTAAATAAATATTTTTAAAAACATTTCAATTTAAAACCTTTGGAAATTTAATAATTTATAAAAAATACAACTATAACCCTTCCAAAATTCAATTATTTTCTAAAATTTTTAACTAAACTTCATCTTTGAATCAATTATTTTTAATTATTCTCCGAAAGTTTCTCGAGAATTCAATTATTTAAATACAAAAATTCAATTTTTTATAATAATTGTAACTGTAACTGTAAAAGTTATTGAGGTTTAATATAAATATTTTTAAAAAATTATAATAAAAAACTACTTCCAATTAATTTTTTTTTAAAAATATTTATAATTAATTTTTGAAAGTTTTTTAAATATTTACAATTAAAAAATTTCTAAACAATTTAAGTTTGGTAAAATCTTTTAAAAATAATTCAATTTTTTGAAAAATATATTAAAACAACAATCAAATTTTTGAAGAATTTTAATTATAAATATTTCTTAAAAATTGTAATGAGTCTAAAAAAGTAAATTTAAAAAAATTTTAATTTACTTTGTTCGAAGTTAATTGAATCTTAAGAAATTATGATAAAACAATTCTAAAAATTAGTTTTTTAAAAATATTGTAATGTAATTTTTCGAAAATAATTGAAGAATTTTTGTATAATTTAAAAAAAGTAATTAATTTCTTAAAGAATATTGATTAAAAATTTTGTACATGATTTTTTTTCTCCAAAATGTTAAAAATAATTCTAAAAAATTTTAATGTTATTATTTTTTGTATGTATTTGAATTTTCGGAAATGTATAATTGAAAATAATTGAATTTTAAAAATTCGAATGAAAACATTCTAAGAAAAATTTTCAAAAATATTTTAATATAATTTTTTTGAAGCTAATTTTCATTAATTTTCATTTTAAAATTTACACTTGAAGATTTTTCATTAAAATTCTTGAGAATTCAATTATTTTCAAAATTTGCAATAAAAATTCTTCAAAAGTTGATTTTCCAAAATTTTAATAAAATACTTGAAATGTTTACAATTTAGATAAAGTATTGAACTTTAAAATGTTTCAAAAATTGAAATTTTCTCAAAATTGAAATGTAAACAAGTAGATTTCAAAATTATATTGGGTGAACTTCCTTTTTCTCTTTGAATAATTGAATTCTCAAAAATTACTAAAAAAATAATTGATTTAGAAGAATTTTAGTTAAATATTTCAGAAAATAATTGAATTAAAATCTTGAAAATAATTTTAGAGAAGTAGCAATTTTTTGAAAGTACTAATTTTCAAAAGGTTTCAAAATTTTAAATTTTTTATAATTTTAATTTTAAATAATTGAAATTATAAATTCCAGAAAATTAAGTTTTTGAAAAACTTTTATCCAAATCTTTTTTAAACTAGTTGAATTTTGAATATATATATTTAACTGAAAAATTTGCAAATTATTCAAATTTCGTAAAATTGAATTGTAAACAAGTGGATTTCAGAATTATTTTAAGTGACCTTCCTTTTGCTCTGAATAATTGAACTCTCAAAAATTACTAAAAAGAATTGATTTAGAAGAATTTTCGTTAAAAATATTTCAGAAAGCAATTGAATTGAAACCTTGAAAATAATTTTAGAAAAGTAGCAATTTTTTTAAATTCTGAATTTCAAGAGGTTTCAAAAATTAAAATTTAAAACATTAAAATTTTAAATAATTTAAATTAGAAATTCCAGGAAAAGTTATTTTTTGAAAAATTTGTATCTTAATATTTTTGAAGTTAATTGATTTTTTTTGTTTTAAGTTTTTATTTTCTAATATATATTTAATTGAAAAATTTTCAAATAATTGAAATTTCGTAAAATTGAATTTGTAAACAAGTCGATTTTGAAATTTTCTTTTTTTTTGAATAATCAAATTCTCAAAAATTATTAAAAATAAATGATTTGGAGAATAATTAGTAGGTATAATTAAAAAATTTTGATAATAATTGAATTGAAATAAGGAAAATAATTTTGGAGAAGTTACATTGTAACAATTCTAATAAATTATTAAATTTCAAAAGGTTTGAAATTTCAAATTTTTGAAAACCTTTAATTCCTATGGAATAATAATAATAATAATAATAATAGTAATAATAATAATAATAATAATAATAATAATAAAATATTTATCCAAAAAAAGCTATTGATGTTTTCGAATAATTTTACAATTAAAGATATTCATGAGTAAGTGTATTAGAAATGGGTTTTCTTGATTAATTTTTAGAGTGAATGAGATTATTTTTTAGCGTTCAGGAAAAAGAAGTCAAAATTCTGTCTACAAAACAAGGAAAAATTAGGGAAAAACAAAATCAAATTTTTGTGACAAAGATCACAATTACAATTAATTGTAAAATTACAAGACCTTATCATTTTAGATGAAAATCTAATAAGGATTTTTGAATTGAATTCGGAAAAGAGAAAAAAGTGAATATTAATATTATAATTGAAATGTTGACAAAATTCTCACGTGTCTTTCCGCGTAATGAATAACAGACGGAGGAAGAGCTCTTTGTTTTTCAATATTCTTCAATTCGTGACTAATTTCATAACCATGGGGTAATCCTTGAATGAAATACTTTTTATGTTTCATTATTCCAAGCCACATGTAAATTTGTAATTTCGTCTGAATCGTCCAACCCGATGGACCGTATCTCTTTTTTCCTGGAAGCTGATAAAATTTTCATATTCTTTATTATTTTGCATACATTCATTCTTCACTGTAATAATTGCAGTATATAATTATTATATTACAACTATAATAACACTTTTAGTTAATATCTGAAATTATAATACTTAATATTGTTTCAAAATCCAAAAATATATATTTTGGTTCATATTACCTTTAAAAATATAGTTTGAACCTTGGCACAATATTTTCCGCATTCTTCGTCAACAATAGAGTAAATTAAATCCCTTCCAGGAATTCGATGATAAGCAACTCGTCTTCTTGAACTTATAACCCAGACAAAAACGTCGGGTAGTGAATCTTGAGGCTACAAAATTATAATTTGCATTCATCAAAAATTCAAATATTCAACTATGGAAATAGAAAATAGAAAATTGGTTGTGAATTTACCATAGACTAAGTTTAAGAGAATTAAAAACATTTAAATAGAAGAAAAAAAATTCTTCACTCACATCATCAATGAGAAATTTGAGTTTCTGCAAATATGTCTGAGCTGTTTTTAATCTTTCTTTAAAGCTACTTTTCGTAACGATTGCTTTCAAATTCCTCGCCATAACTGACATATTTTCAATTTCCATTTGACATAATTTTGCCCTCTCTTTGTCGAGTTTTGTTTTTCCTACACCAGGACCTGTTGTACTCGACTTACTGATACTGATATATCGATTGCAATTGCTGTGTAATTCTTCTAAAACTGTTTTCAAGAGACGCTCGCAAGTTGTTGAATCCTCAATATGCACCTGCACTTCAGAGAGACCTTCTTCCTGAAAAAGAAAACATTATTTTTTAATAAAAAAATTTAATTAATTAAAATTAAATAATTTACGAATTAATTCGATTAAACAATTTTCGAATTAATTAATTTAATTATCTAATTAATTAAATTTTTTCACTATTATTATTATTTGGTTTTAAGAATAAACTTACCAGTTTATCTACAATTTTATTGATAATATTGCTATTGTACATTCTGCGTCTGTAATCGGGCCAAATACTTCGAACATGAAGGCACGGTTTATTGTCCCAATATGGAAGAAAATAATAAATCTTATCGTGGGTCATTGGTTTATTCGATGGAGTAGTACTTTGACAAGAACGAGTAACAACTTGTTGCACTTCTTCTTCGTCTCCGCTGCCACCCATTGACGAGCTCATATCACAAACCTATCATCAATTTCAACTCGTAAAAAATCAATAAAAAGGAAAAGTGTTTCATTCAATTGAATTCAATCGAAAAATAACCGATAATCCATCTTCTTTTACAAGTCTGTCAAATTAAAATTTGGGCTTTTCATTTTACGAAAATAATAAATTTAATAATAATAATAATAATAAAATTAAATAATAAAATTCTTTCAAGGAATTTTATTATTTGTAAAAATAACTAGCAAATATTACGCGCGAAATGTGGTATTTCATTTCTTATTATTACGCAAAATAAAAAAATTTATTTTCAAATATTAATTTCAATTTTGGAATAATTTCGGATTCAAAATTTCAAAATATTCAGTTATTAACTAATTTACTAATTGATTATAATTATTTATTATTTTAGAAAACTTTAATAACATTTTTCGTGTAGGAATTCAATTATTTTAAAAAATTTTGGTTAAATTCTTGATGAGAATTGAAATACTTTTAAAAAAAATTATAGGTAATTAAATTCCTCGAAAAAATTCAGTGAGGTATTTTCGAAAATTTCAATAAAATTCTTAGCAAGATTTCAATTATTTTCATGATTTGTACAATTTTTCGCAGGAATTTAAATTATTTTAAAGTATTTTAACTAAAATTTAAATAAAAATGTTGTTGAAGTTCACAATGTTTATAGTCAACAATTTAGAAGAAAAATTCATATTTCTAGTCAAATTTTCGTCTTAAAAATGTTTTACTATGTTTCTTGATTAAATACTTGATAAATAAAATTTTTCTTAAAAAAAATATTATTTTCTGCATAAAAAATATTTTTTTCTACTCATTGTTGATCATAAACGTTGTAAGCTTCACCTACATTCCAAAAAATGCAATTATTTTCGAAAATTTTAATAGAATTCTTAACAAGATGTCAATTATTTTCAGAATTTATGAAATTTTTCGTGGAAATTTAATTAATCATTTTAACAAAATTCTTCGCTAAAATTTTATTATTTTAAAAATTTTCAATAAGATTATTAATAAAAATTAAATTCAATACTTTGACAAAATTTAATTCTTTTCCTAAATAATAAAATTCTGCGCAAAAATTTAATTATTTCGAAAATTTTTTATAAGAATTCACTTTATTAATAAAATTCTTACCAAGATTTCCAATATTTTCATAAATAACATTTCTCTAAAGAATTTAATTATTTTAAAAAATGGTAATTAAATTTATCGAAAGAATTCAATTATTTAAAAAAATGTCAATTATAACATTCTTTGCAGAAATTCAATTATTTTCAAAAATTTTGATCAAACTGTTTATAAAAATTTTAATATTTTTAATATAATTTTTATTAAATTTTTAGTAAATATTAACTTATATTTTTAAAGATTGTAATTAAACTTTTCGCAAGAAATTAACTTATTTTAACAACTTTAGATAAATTTCTTTATAAAAATTCAATTATTTCAGATTCAAAATTATAAAAGAAATATTTTTAATTAACAACAATTTGGTTTAATTAATTCTTGGTCTTTTAACTTCAAAGAACTAAATTGGGATTTTATTAATTTTAAAATTCAGAACATTAAAAAGAAAAATTATAAAAAAATAGGAAACAAAAAGCAAGCGAAAACCACTAACTTTAAATTGCAAACAGATTATTTAGAAGATTTATATTAAATTTTTTTTAAATACCTAATTAAATTCTTTCCAAGAATCTTATTATTTATAAAAATAATTGAATTCCTAAAATTCAATTAGTTTCAGGTAAATAATAAATTCTACACAAAAATTAAATTATTTTCAAAAAAGTTTTTCAAATTCTTCAAAAAAAATTTAATTATTTTTTATAGGTAATTATTATCTATAGATAATTAAATTTTTTTTAAGAATTGAAAGTAATATGATCCTAAAGTTCTGAACGTTCAAATGGACGAAATTGGCTTATTTCTTCTTCAAATTAAATTTTTATTACAATATTTTAAATTTTGTGTCACAATGAATAAAATTAATTATAAAGTTTCTCAGCATAAAATGAAAGTTATAATTTTTATTGCAATCAGCAATTTATGAAAATATTTTTAATAAAAAGTATTTCGTTCATTTGAACGTTCAAAACTTGTGGATTGTAAAATAATTGAATTCCTGCAAAGAATATTATTATTTACATATATATAAATAATAGTATTCCTGCGAAGTTTATTATTTATTATTTATTTAAAATAAACAAATTTCTGCGAAGACTTTTATTATTTATATATAAAAATAGTTGAATTTTTCTGAAATATTTTATTATTCATAAAATATTAATTGAATTCACGCGAAGAATTTTATAACAAATAAAAATAACGATAGAAAAAAATAAGAATTTTCACAAACCTTGGAGCTCTCATTATGACCATCGAGAGCATTCCCAGCATTTCCAATAGAAATTTCAAAATACATTGGTTTATCGCCTAATTTTTTGTCAATCATTGTAGCGTCCATAATACTGGCGAACAGAAAAAATTCCTCATTTCTGGCGTAAGCCGATTCATTGACAGGAACGGCCGGTTGAACCTCGACTTCACAGGGGGCAATATCGACATTGTCAGTAATTTCAGTTCTAATTGCAATTAGCACCCTGTGTAAAATAAATTAATACTTAATAATTATGCGAATTTCAATATCTATTGTTTTTTTTTTATTTATTTATCGAGATACATCCCCGCAGTCCAGGAAGGACACTAAATGGTTAACAAAATATAATAGAAAGTATAAAGTAAAAATTAATAAAGAGAAAAAAAAACGAAATTTATAATTAAAACTAAATATTTAGTGATAAATATTTAATGATAAAAATAATAAATATTGAATTACCTCGCTCTGTACGAAATTCCTTCTCCCAAACCAGTATTAAGTGTCGAGTGTTCATCAATTAAACTATAATCCCGAATACTGCCGTACATGTGAAGAAACGCAGGTCCAAACGTAGGTAAAAATCCCTTCTCACCATCATTACTGATTTGTTTCAAATCGACAAAATGCGTTCCTATTACTGTAGCGTGTAAAGGATCGTTATCACATAATTGAAATTTAATTCTCTGACAAAGTGGAGGAAACATTTCGGTAAACACAATTTGTTCATTCCAAACCGGAGCGTAACTGTGCCTTTTGACTGACGTCTTGCCCTGTATTAGTTTCATAAATTCAATATTACTTTTAAAACATTGAATAACAATTATTAATAATAAAATATAATAATTACGATTTAATTATTTTCGTTATTATAATTATTATGGTATTAGCTGCATGAATTAATGAAATTCATGAAATTGAATTAAAAATAACCTTACACTTAATCCTGCGAATGAAACAAGTACATAAGGATCAACGAGATCCTTTACTTCGCCGGTGAATACTTTTTTCACGTTTGCCATAATGCTACTGTTCATTTTTGGCAGGCCATCGGCTCTGTAAATTTTAACGATAAATTTTGCCTTTTGCCTTTCAATGGGAACACCGTCGGGTAACAATAGATTTCCTTCAATATCATCCTCGTCCTTTTCACTTTTAGGTGGAATTTTTACACTGTCACCTTTTCCAATCACACTTATATCACATTTTAAATAACCCTTAGGACCACTCGTTATATCATCAGGATCCGTCAATAATGCCCACTTGTGATAAAATTGTTGATCTGTAACAATGAAAATTGTTTACATTACGATCATTTTAGAGGTTATGTAAATAGAAGGCAACAAATTCATAAAGCTAATTTGTTGACAATTTTTGAATTCAGCATTTTCAAGTAAAAATAAAAGATTTTCCTATCAATACTATTTTTATTGCTCAGACAATATAATTATTTTAAACTTTTTAAACATATTTCTTATCACACAATGTATTTTATACTATTTTTAAAATTTTTTTAAAGTATTTTAAATTCGCGGTAATATCGAATTGATCAGCCAATCAGAATTAATATTACGGACAGATTTCTTGATCGATTCGGAAAAGTGTTGTAAAGGTACCATAAAGTTCCAAAGGAACGAACGATCAGACCCTGCTTATTGTTTTCAACTACCCAACCCTAAAGTTGGGCGTGAAAACCCTGAAGAAGTGAAATGAGACTTTTCTAGTGAATTTAATCGTAATAATCCTGAAGAATCTACGATTTATAAGTTATTATTAACGAAAATAGTTAAAAATATTACTTTGTCGAATGTTCTACGATTATTATTTTCTGACAATTATGATTTGTTGCAAAGTACATAACAAAAAGACGCCAACGCCGACGCCATTTTACATTTATCCAGCATTCCTTTGTTGTGTTATTTTCAATCAACTCACAATCTATATTCAATCAATATGAGAAGTAATGAAGATTTTAATATAATTTCAAAGACGATTCGCAACAATAGAGAAATAAGAGAGACGTGGAGTTGATGGATTTATTAAATTGAGAGAGAAACGTCTTGTGAGGTATGTGTTTTTCGTTTATGTGAAATTTATTTTCAATATTTAATTTATAAATAGAAAATTGCAAATATTTCAATGTACCGAATTCAGACTTCGAACTGATCTAAAAATTATTGTTCCTACTATTTTTTAGCACATTTCTTGAAAAAGAATTCCTATTTTCAAGTATTACGATAGAAAAATATAGCGATACGATTTTTGCAAATTTATTTTTAGGTTAAACTGTTATTCACATTTTTGTAATAAATTTTGACAAAAACAGGGTTGTCACAGGTTTAGAAAATAAGAGATGAAATTTTACCCAAAATAAGATTGCGAAAAAACATCAGATTATCGAAAAACTTAAATTATCTTTTCAGAAAGACTTTTCTTTCTCAAAATAAAAACTTTAAAAGACATCATAAAAAGTGAAAGTTGTAATTTTTTTTTAATAATTGTTTCATGAATTATTTAGTTTTTAAAATTTCATTTTTGATGGAATTTTTAAAAAGCATTGACTTAGAGAAGAAATTAATTCATTTATCTTAAAAAAAAGGAATGAAAATTTTCCAGACTATTTAAATTACAGATTATTAAGAATTTTACAAAATATAAAATTCAATTGTCATTCAAAAATATTATCTTTCAAAAGCTTCTAATATTTATAAAACACTTATTGAACAAATTTTTTTATTCTAATTTTTTAAAAATTAATTATCTTTCATATTAAATAAATTCATGTTAGTAACATTTTTAAAAAATCGAGTTACAGTTACAATTAATATAAAAATCGTATTTTATTTTTTAAATAAATGAGTTCTTGAATAAATTTCGAAAAATTATTTTAAAAAATTAATTGAGAGAAATATATTTCTAATTTGTAGAAAGTAATTGAATTTTGAAGGGTTACAATTTTTTCAAAAATTAATTATTCTAAAAAAGGGAACCTATAATTAAACGATTTTTGTATAATTGAAATTTTGTAAAATTTAATTGAAAATGTTTAATTTTTTCCAAGTATTTTATTACAATTTTTGAAAATCTACTTTTGCAGAATTTTAATTGCAAATTTTGAAAATAATTGAATTCTCAGAAATTTTAATGAAAAATCTTCAAGTGTGTAAATTTAAAAATGAAAATTAATGAAAATTAGCTTCTAAAAATTATATAAAAATATTTTTGAAAAAAGTAATTTTTCGAATTTTTTTATTATAATTTTTTAAAATTCTTATTTATTTATATATTTTTCCACATTAACATAGTTAATTGTTATTGTTTATATTTTCAAAAATTTTAGTATAATTCTTTGCAAGAATTCAATTATTTTCATAAATAATAATATTTTTTGGAAGAATTCAATTATTTTCAACAAAATTTTAATAAAATTTCACGAAAGCATTCAATTATTATCTTAAATAGTAAAATCTTTGCAAAAATTCAATTATTTTTAGTACAACAATTAATAAATAAATTCTTCAAAACAATTCAATTTTTATAAATATTAAAATTCATTGAAAGACTTCAATTTTTTTTATAAATAATGAAATTCTTCTCTGGAATTTAATTATTTTCAATATTATTTTAATAAACTTCATTAATCAAATATTTCATTAAAGTTACTAACAAACACGATTATTTAAAAAAGTTTGTGTAAAAAAATCTTTGTTTAATTCAATTCACGGTGGTCTTCAAGCACTTTTAGGTTTACCTAAAATGAGTCAAAATTGTGCTAACGCAGTTTTATCGGGAATCGGCCCAAGATTCCAAATTTTCATTTCCGAAAATCGTAGCTGATTCTTTTTTCGAAAAAAACCAAAAAAACATATATATATATATATATGGGCAATTCCACGTGAGATTTTAGTCGACGTCTTGAAATCGACCAAAAATATTTCTTTCTATTCTGTATTGAAAAAAACAGATACGTATTTTTTTATTTTTGTTTAATTGTCCAAATTTTAGAGTTATGAATTTTCGAAATTTTGGACTTGTAATTGTAGACCTATATTTAGTAGCTTATAAGTCCAAAATTATTCAGTTTAGGAAAAAGTTGTCAAAGAATGATACTTTTAGTTTTCTTTCGACTTTTAAGAAATGTAAACAAAAAAATTTTTTGTTAATTTTTTAAAATTTTTTATTAAAAAAATTTTTTTTTTTATAAACAAATTAATTTTTTTTAACTTTAGCCCGGACTTTTTTTATTTTTTTAAAATTTATTTATTCCTTATAATATATGGAAGATTTTTCAAAAAATCCCGAGGTGGGACTGATGTGTTGAATGAGTTTTAAAACATTTTCAAAAATCACTTGCAAGCATCACAGTGGGATTTTTTTACAATTAACTTTTTAAAACTGTCTACAGTGTATAATTTTAATCTATTTGAGAGTTCTTTTTTTAAATTAAAGGATCTACGCTGTATAGACAATTTTAGAAGTTAATTGTAAAAAAAAATCCCACTGTGATGATTGCAAGTAATTTTTGAAAATGTTTTAAAACTCATTCAACACATCAGTCCCACCTCGGGATTTTTTGGAAAATCTTCTCTATATTATAAGGAATAAATAAATTTTAAAAAAATAAAAAACAATCCGGGCTAAAGTTAAAAAAAATTAATTTGTTTATAAAAAAACAAAAAAATTTTTAAATAAAAAAAAAATTTTTTTAAATAAAAAATATATGAAAATATATATATATTTTCATATATTTTCATATATTTTTTAAAAATTTTTTTTAATAAAAAATTTTAAAAAAATTTTTTGTTTACATTTCTTAAAAGTCGAAAGAAAACTAAAACTTTCATTCTGTGACAAATTTTTCCTAAACTCAATATTTTCGGACTTATAAGCTACTAAATATAGGTCTACAATTACAAGTCCAAAATTTCGAAAATTCATAACTCTAAAATTTGGACAATTAAACAAAAATAAAAAAATACGTATCTGTTTTTTTCAATACAGAATAGAAAGAAATATTTTTGGTCGATTTCAAGACGTCGACTAAAATCTCACGTGGAATTGCCCATATATATATATATATATGTTTTTTTGGTTTTTTTCGAAAAAAGAATCAGCTACGATTTTCGGAAATGAAAATTTGGAATCTTGGGCCGATTCCCGATAAAACTGCGTTAGCACAATTTTGACTCATTTTAGGTAAACCTAAAAGTGCTTGAAGACAACCGTGAATTATTTTCTAAAATTCCAATTAAAATTTTTCCAAAAACTATATTATTTTCATAAAAACTTAAAGAAATTCTTCGAAAGAATTTAATTATTTACAAAAACTCTAATAAAAATGTTTAAAAGAGTTTAATTTTTTATCAATAATTGCAATAAAATTTTAATAGTAAAATTATTAATTATAATTTTTAACAAAATCGATTATATTCAATAAATTAAACAAATGTCTTGAAAGAATTCAATTATTGTCAAAAACTTTAATAAATTTTATTCTTCGAAGGAAGTTAATTATTTTCTATATTTTAATGAAATTCATTGAATAAATTAAATTATTTTAGAAAATTGTAAAAAATTTCTGAGAAGAATTTATTTAATTATTTCTAAAAAAATTGTAATGAAATTCAACAATTAAAGTATTAAATGTTGAATTTCAATTATGATAAGAAACACGATTATTTTAAAAAATTGAAAGAAATTGTTGATAAAATTCAATTATACTTTGAAAATTTGCAATTAAAATTATTAAAGAAACTCCATTATTTGAAAAAAATTCAAAAAAATTCTTCAAAAGAATATAATTAGGATTTTAAAACATTTTAATAAAATTCTTCGAAGTAATAAATAAATAAAATGTAATAATAATTTTTTTGAGTGTCTAATAATTTTTAGAGTGAATCAGAATCTTTAGTGTCAGGGAAAAAGTCAAAATTTTGTCTGGAAATCACGGAAAAACAAAATTAAATTTTTGTGGCAACCCTGTGAATTTTTCTATTTAAGTAATTGCATTCTCGAAGAACTTTCGGAAAATTTTTAAAAATAATTTATTCTGAGATGAAGTTTAGTTAAAAATTGTAGAAAATAATTGAATTTTGGAGTTGTAATTTTTAAAAATTATTAAATTTCAGAAGGTTTGAAATTGAAAGAACTAAAAGTATTTAAATTTTATTTTCCGTAAAAAAAACAAATTAGAAGTATTTAAAGATTTCTTTAATTTATTCAAGTTTTGAATAATTGATTTTAGAAATCACTGGAAGGGGAATTTCAGGGAAATACAAAATGAATTTTTTGTGACAACACTGAATTAAATAAACGATTTTTCTGTGTTTTTAATCGACTAAAGCGACTTTTTTTGTGCCTTAAGGGCATTTGAACCTTGATGACGTCACACATGCTTTGCACAAAGTGTAACGTCATCAAGGTTCAAATGCCCTTAAAAGTCGTTTTGAGGTCTGTATTTTGCACTTGAGTTAAAATGAAGTAAATACGGTAATTAAATAAATGAATCAAGTTAATTAATTTAATTACCAAAATAAAAATTTTATTTAACTCTATAATTAGTAATTTGTAATACCTGGTTGAGACCACACTGTCGCCACGTCTAATTTGAAACTTCCCAGTGTCACATTCGATCGCAATAAGTTTCGTGATTGTTGTACCTTTAATAGAAATGTAATTTTTAAATATATATATATATATATAAAGAAGAATATTTTTTAAAAATATATTTTTAAAGAAACGTTTTTTTCTATAATATTGAATTATCTTAATATGTAAAAAGTATTTTTATTTTCATGCTGGGGTTTCAACATGTTTGGATCTGCAACAGTTGGAGGAGTCAATATACCTTCCTAATTTACATATCCACGATATATTTTATTTTTTTATTTGACATGTGTGAGATTGGTATTCAAGGGAAGAATAGCTTACCGAGAGAGTGATGATCTTGTCAAAGAGCATTACAGGCGGCATATGAAAGTCGAATACAAAATACTGAAATTCAACAAGATTTATTATCTCGAAATGTAAATACGATAGAAAAATTGATTTTGCATACAGCTGACTGGAGTAATTTTGAATTGAAGTGAAATAGTTTATTTCTTCTTTTTAAAAATAGAAATTTTCCTTATTTACCTCATTATAGTAAGGACAATTCGTTGATTCTTTAACGCTCGTATATTTTCGTTGATCTCCAACTTGAACACACACAATGGGATCCATATTAAGGCCTGCTAATTGTCTCGCTTCGATAATTGTAATGCAAACTTGATAATCTTGTGCTTTTAATGCCCCCTGTCCAGTGTCACTGCTCTATATTAAAAAAAAAGAATCAAAAATATTGGATAATTTTTTATTCGCTCTTTATCAAATTGTTTTAGTTAATTGTTTTAGGTCCCTGAAGTTTTCTTCGACACTTTCAGGATTGGAAACTTATTTCTTCGAGATGTTTAGTGACAAAAATTTCACAATTTCCATTCGTCAAGGACTCTAAAAATTTCCATACATATTTAGACTTTGAACTTTTTCCAACTGTTGTCAAAAAAGGCAACTTTTTTCAATTCATTAAAGAAATTTGACTTTTCTTATCAAAATACGACAACAAAATACCACTTTTTTGGTATAAAATGCAATTAATTTCGATATTTATAGTATAAAAAATATTACTTATAGTTAAATCGTTCAAAAATAATTTTTGAATAACTTTTCAAAGATATTTAAATTTTTGCAGGTGAAATTTTTTTTCTGGGCGAAAATTCATCGATAAAATATCTACAAAAAATAATTACATTGAAATTTTTTATAAAATTTTATTTTTTATAATGATTATTAAAATTTTAGAAAAATAAATCATTTTTAAAATTTTTTATTGAAATTCTCGAAAAAATTTATTACTTTTTTAAAATTATCGAAAAATTATGTTATGAAATCAATTATTTAAAAAAAAATATTATAAATAATATTTTTAAAACATTAAATCTTGCAATTTTTATCATAATTTTTAAAAATTCAATTCTTTTAAACAGAAATAAATTAGATTTTTTAAAAAAAATCTACTTTTTAGACTTATTAAAATATTAAATTTTAAAAAGTTTTTAAATCTTAGATTTTAATTAAAAAAAATGTAAAAGTATAATAATATTTAAATATAAAATTTAAAAATTTATTAATTTGTTAGTTTTCATAAAAATTAAGTTTTGAATAATATTCAAAAATTCTAAAAAGTAATTAAATTTTGGAAGGATTGCAGTTCAAATTTTAATAAATAATTAAATTTCAAAAAGTTTTACATTGAAAGTTTTTTGAAATATTCTAATTCATGTGGACAAATAAAAAATAAGAAGTATTGAAATATTTATTTTACAATTATTGAAATTTGAAAAACTAAATTTGGAAATACTGAGAAATCTTAGGTTTTTGAAAAATTGTAATTAAAATTTTTTAAAAATATACTTGCATCAAAATTATTTTTAAAAAATTGTAACAATTGGAAATTTTGTCTAGTTTTATTATAACAGGAATTTTAAGAAATAATTGAATTTTAAAAGTTTTTAAATTGAATTCTTTGAAAATTTTAAACCAAGTAAAAGTATTTAAAAATATTTAAATGGTTTTTTTAAAAAATTAGTAATATATTTTTCTATAAAAATTATTAAAGTTTTGAATAATTTTAGTCAAAAATAATGAAAAACTAATTCAATTTTTGAAAAATTGCCGTTGTAATTTTTATAAATAATTAAATTTCAAAAGGTTTTTAATTGAAATTATTTGAAATTTCAATTTCTCTGCGTAAAAATAAATAATAAGTTTTTAAATATTTGTTTCACACAAATTATTGAAGTTTTGAATAATTTAATTTAGAGATTCCGAAAAAATTTGTTTTTTGAAAAAATGTAATTAAAACTTTTTGAAGTTAATTAAATTTCCGAAAATAATTTTAAATAATTGAAACAATTGAAAATGTTGCCAAATTTAATTGAAATGAATCAAAATTTTTAAGAATTTTATTTTTTTTTACTTCTAAAAATTATTTTGAAGTGTAATCGTATTTTTGAAGAATTCTAATTGAAAATTTGAAAAATAATTGCTGTAAAATTTTAATAATAATGTAATATTTAATTTTAAAATTATTTTCCTCAGAATTATTAAAGTTATTCTAATTTTATTGAAAAGTTGAAGAAAATAATTGAGTAAATTTAAAAGATTAAAATTTTTGTAGCAAAATAAGGGTTTAAATGTTTATTTAACAAAGTTATGCCAACTTTGAATAATTGAATTTAAAAAAGCAGTGAATTGTCATGGAAATAGAATAATAAAATTTTTGTCACAACACTGAATAAAATAAACAACATATTTCGAATTTCTTTGCATCTCAAGTCGACTAAAGCGACAGTTTTTTTGCGCCTTAAAGTCGTTCCGAGACGTGCATATTGAACTGTTTGAATTTAAAGTCTTTGATTTCTTTTTCACCTTTAGCGACAATGAAATTAAATTCAGAGACCTAAAGTTTTTATTTAATTTTAATTGTCGTCTTCATTCACCTTGGGTTTTGGTTTTTTTACAGGTTTCACGTATACATCTTCAGACTCATCGTTGTTTAGACTGAGTTGACTTTCATTATCAGAAGGATTAATATCTAAAGAGGATAGAGAATTTGTTCTTGATGGTTCATTGGATGTTGGGCAACTTGAATCCTGTCTATCGAGAAGTTCACGTGATTCTGAATTACTATCAGACGATCTGTCTCTTGGTGGTCTTTGTTTTCCTAATTTTATTAGAGACCTTACATTCTTAAATGCTGACGTTCTGTTAAATATAGAAAAATTGTTAATTTGTTTTTTACAAAAAAAAAAATGGAAATCGAAAAAGGGGTAAGCGCATTCTCTATTTCTTTAAAATGGAAATTGAAAGAAATTCTCTATTTCTTCAAAATGGAAATTGAAGGGCCAATCCATTTTATTTCGACTGAAGTGGTAGCCGACTACTATATATTGTTTTATCAAACAAAATTTTCTATCTTTTGTAAAATATGATTTTAAAGTCTGAAAACTGTCAGTTTTCTGCCAGTAGAAAATAATTTAAAAGGCATACAATTTAGTACAAAAATATAACAAAAATTATTGCCATGATTAAAGAATGTATAAATTTATATAATCATTTAAAGATATAAAATAATAAATAAAATATCCCAAAGTTCATTATAGTAAAGTAACCTAATTTCCGAAAATACCATATTTTTACGATTTTCTCCAAAGAAGTTAGATAGATTTAAAAATCGTGAAAATGGGCAAAGTGCCAAATTTATTTTACACATATTTTTTATTTTATGAGAAAATAAAACAAAACTGTAAAGAAAACTGAAAGTTCATCACTAATTTTTTTATTCATCACTAATTTTTTTTATTTTTCTAATTAAAAATTTGAAAATAATTGAAATTTACAAAGAATTTTAATAAAAACTTCTGAGAACAGTTGAATTGTTTAGAAAAATTTTATTACAATTTATAAAAATAATTGAACCTGTTAGAGAAATTTTATTAAAACTATCTTGAATATAATTGAATTTTTTCCTAGAAATTTTATTATTTACAAAAAATAATTTAATTCTTGCGGAGAATTTAACAATTCCTAAAAATAATTGAATTGTTTCGAAGAAACAATATGAATTTTTGAAAATAAATGAATTTTTTGAAGGAATTTTATTAAAAATTTTAAAAGTAATGATTTTTAAAAAAAAAATTTCATAAAAATTGTCGAAAATAATTGAATTTATATTAAAATTCTTGAAGATAATCGAATTTAAATAATATTTGTAAAAATAATTGAATTTATATTAAAATTCTTGAAAATAATCAAATTAAAATAATATTTGTAAAAATAATTGAATTGAATCGAATAATTTTATATGAATTTTTGAAAATAATTAAATTTATATTAAAATTCTTGAAAATAATCGAATTTAAATAATATTTGTAAAAATAATTGAATTGATTCGAATAATTTTATATGAATTTTTAAAAATAATTGAATTTTTTGAAGAAATTTTATTAAAAATTTTAGAAGTAATAATTTTTTAAAAAGAATTTCATTAAAATTGTCGAAAATAATTGAATTTATATTAAAATTCTTGAAAATAATCGAATTTAAATAATATTTGTAAAAATAATTGCGAAGAATTTTATTATTTATGAAAATATTTTAATCTTGCGAAGAATTTTCTTGTTTATGAAAATAATTGAATTCTTTCCGAGGATATATAAAATTTTTTAATTTACAAAATAATAATAAATGGAATACCGCGTTCCGCGCGTATGCCTTTTAAATTATTTTCTACTGGCTAAAAACTGACAGTTTTTAGACTTTAAATTTATATTTTACAAAAGAAATAGAAAATTTTATTTGAAAAAATCTTTTCATTTTGTGACTCTAATTACATAAAATTATTCCTGCAGAATAATTACAATTTTTTAAAATTAGTCGGCGACTACTTTAATCGAAATAAAATGGACTGAGTCTGAAAGAAATATTTTTTTTTGAAATTATTGTGAATATTCTTCTTATAGGTACTTTTTAGGAAATAATTACCTCTTTCTTTCTGATGAACTTTCTCCTATTGTTAATGATATTCCTCTCTGCATAAAACCCTTTTTATGGGGTTTATCACCATGTTGCAATGATCCTCTTCTTTTACCGCCATTTGTTTGTTCTAAACTTCTCTCCAAATTGGCAATATTTTGCTCAACATCTATTAACATTTGCTGTTCATCCTCTAGTATTTCGGATGGTGCGTAAGAACTACAACTTTCATTTGGGGCAGTATATCGAACTTCAAAGCAAACAATAGTCTGAAATTTGTTTTCAACATTTAACGATTTCACATTTCATTTCAATATTCCTTTATATACTGTTTTTATCTTTCAAATTTTTAATTCAAAATATTTGTTGTTTAAGGATTAAAATTAGATTTATATTAAGAATTAAAAGAATATAAGAAATTTAGAACACTTTTGTAAAAACATAATTTTTTTATTTTCGGTCAATTCGTTATATTTCACCCAAAGTAGTTGCGGATTATTTTTGGAAAAATCTTATAAATTTATTATAGAAATGATTTTCAATATTCGTTTAATTATTCATATTCATCAAATACTTCCAATAAAATTTTTTTCTATATTTATGTAACTTGGAATTTTAATTTCTTAGTTGCACTGAAAAGAGGCTATTTTAACAAATAAAAAATTGCAATAATTTAATAAAATTGTACAGAAATAATAAAAATAATAAAAATTTTGTTATTCTTATTACTGTTGAAAATAGCTTAAATTATTTATACAAATTGATTATTTCGTAAAAAAAAGTCCAGAAATGTAAAAAAAATTGTTAAAAAAATTTACCTGCAAAAAATTTCTAGTTTTATAAACATTTAAAATATATTTTTCTTGAAGGTTTTTGAACATTTTCAACATAATTATTATTTTTTATTTAGTATTGAATTTTTAATTTTATAATGTAAAAATAGAAAAAATTTTAACTTAAATGTTGGAAATTTAAGAGTTTTCAGTGATTTTGAATCCTTGTAATTTTCAATTCTTGCACATATTGTCATTAAAATTCAATTAAAAATAAACAATTTCCTTTGAAGAATAATTATTATAAATTATAGAAATATTTGGAATCTAGCGAAGAATTGAATTTCTGAGAAAAATTTTGTTATTATATGAAAATAATATTTAAATCCTGGAAAGAATTTTATTTTCTATAAAAATTTGAATTCTTTTAAAGACTTTAATTAAAATTTTTGAAAATAATTGAATTCTTTGACAAATTTTTATTAAAATGTTTCCAAATAATTGAATTCTATTGAGAAAGTTTATTAAAATTTTATTAAAAATAATTGAATTCTTTTAAAGAATTTAATTAAAATTTTTGAAAATAATTGAATTCCTAAAGAAAGACCTAGATATTTAGATAAAAATAATTAAAATACTGGGAAGAACTTTAATACTTATTTAATACTAATTTAATTATTGCAAAGATTTTTATTAAAATTTTTGAAAATAATTTAATCCTTTCATTAGAAACTTTTAATAAAATTTTTCAAAATCATTGAATTCCAGCAAATATTTTATTATTTTTGAAAATAATTGAATTTCTGAGAAAAATTTGTTATTTATATGAAAATAATATAAATCCTGGGAAGAATTTTATTTTCTATCCAATTAATTAAATTATTTTAAAGAATTTTATTCTTAACGTGACGATAATTGAATTAATGCTAAAAATTTTATTAAAATTTTTGAAAATAATTGAATTTCTGAGAAAGACTTTGATATTTAGATAAAAATAATTAAATTCTTTGGAAGAATTTAATTAAAATAATAATACATATTAGAAATAATTAAATTACTGCTAAGAATTTTATTAAAATTTGTGAAAATAATTTAATTCTATGGAATAATTTAATTAAAATTGTATTGTATTGAAAAGAATTGAATTCGTATAAAGAATTTTATGAAGATTTTTGAAAATAATTTAATTCTTTTAAAGAAATTTTTTAAAACTATTAAAAGTAATTGAATTCTTAAAAAAAATTCTATTAAAATTGTATTGGAAATAATTAATTTCGTCCGAAGAATTTTATTATTTCTGAAAATAATTTAATTGTTCCAAAGAATGTTATTAAAATTTTTTAATTATATTGTGAATACTTTTTATTCTTATGGAAATAATTGAATTCCTTTTTAGAATGTTTAGAATGGAAAAGATTTAAATTAAATTTTGAAAGAAAAAGTAAATTTTTCTTTTTATTTCCTAGATAATAAAAGAATTCAAAATCACACGAAAATAGTCCGCAACAACTTTGGGTGAATTATAATTTAATAATGGAACGAACTTTTTTTCTCTGCCAAGTTTGTAGTTTAAAAGATTAGTTTCGATTTTAGGATTAAAAGAATAAAATATTCAGAACACTTTATAAATTTGAATTTTTTATTTTATTTTTTATTCAATTGATGATTGAGAGTAAAAGAAAAGGGGAAAGTGGAAAATTCCAATAATATTGATTCGTTAAATAATTGAAAACGTACCGGAAGAGGTCTGTTATTGAGATCCACCAGGGAATCGCTAATGAGAATCCGACCTTCTTTGACGACAGTTTGCAAAACCAAGCCATATCTCGCTATTGTTTTTTCTTGTCTCAATACATTACGTGTTATAACAGCAAGATGTAGTATTTCAATTTCGTCAACAGGTCTTCCCAAATTCCACGTAAAATTCTAAAATGCAATTAATAAAAAAAAGGAAATTAAAATTTTTCATATGAATTTTTTTTTAATTAATTAATTTATTAATTTTTTTGTTCTTCAGTAAAAATTGTATTTTCTGTTTAAATATTGAAATTTTACTGTGTATTTAAATTCATTTTTAAATTTCTCTTCTCTTTTTTAAATGAAGCAATTAATTATTAGCTTTTAATTAGTCTATTATTAATTTGTGATAATAGTACTATCATTGTATGGAGAAATAATATTAGAAAAAAGTGAATTTTAAACGTAATTAAATTTCCAATCGTGTTAAATCAATCATATTATATTTATTGAAAATTTAATTACACATTGAATATTTTTTGATGAATGATACATCAAAGACTTTAATAAGCTTTATAATATAATAATACACATCGAGTATTGATATATTTATTATCTAATTGAAAATTAATTGTTTATCTTTACAATTTTAAATGAATATTTATTCATTCAAATATTTGATATATTTATATTTTAAATGTTAAAATGTTTATTTTAATAAATATTTCATATGAAAGTGTTTACTTTTTAATAAATATTTTATATGAAAATGTTTACATGTAAATAAATATTTTATATCATAATATTTATAACAGTAAAAAATTATAATTGGAAGTTTTTTTCTTAAATTAAAAAAATTTTTTTTTGATGAATTATAGAAAAGAAATAAAGATTTAAAAAAAATTAAAATTCTGTAATTCGAAGTTTTTTTTTTGATTAGGTATAAAAATATCTCGATTCGATTTCCAGAGGACTTTGATAAATAAAATAAGTGTCTTTTAATTAAAAAGTATTATTAATTGAAAATAATAATCGAGTGAATTGAAAGGAAATCGATTAGTGACATAATCCTTTACCGTGCCCTATCGCTGGGAAAATTTTCTTTATAGCTACATGTATAGAGAAGATTCTATAAAAATTATTTTTATATTTTCTCTAAGGTTTCTTTTTATACAAAACAAGAATTTTTGGTTAAAAAATGCATTTTTTTACTACAAAAAAGAATATTTTTTGAAACAAAGAAACATTTATATTTCAAAGAAAACATTTTTGCTTAGAAAAATAATGTTTTTATTTAAAAAACTATTTCTTTCGTACCATAGAAACATTTTTGTTATAAGAAATAAACATTTTTGTGTGAAAAAAGGATTTTTTTTCAAAAAAGGACATTTTTAGAATAAAATGTTTACTTTAAAAAAATATTTTTTCCTATCAAAGGAACTTTTTTATTACAAAAAATAAACATTTTTGTGTGCAAAAAAATTAGTTAATAGAAAAAGAACATTTTTGGAACCAAAGAAACATTTTTATTGCAAAAAAAACCATTTTTTAACCTAAGAATAATTTTTATTGCAAAAACAACATTTTTTGAACCAAAATAACACTTTAATTACAAAAAAGCGTTTTACACAAATTGAAAACATTTTTTTAACCAAAGAATTATTTTCATTACAAAATTTGAACTTTTTTTTACAAAAAATATTTCTTTCAAAATTTTATTACAAAAATTGAACATTTTTCTTTACTAAAAGTGTTTTTATTTTTTCATTTCAATTTATTTTTTTATTTATTGTAATAAAAATATTTATTTTTCATAACTAGTGCTAGCAGTTGCCAATTTTTGAACGAGCACTTTTTTTGGAACAAACTGTAGGCTTTTTATTAATAAATAAAAAGTGTTTTTTATTTATTTGTTTCAATTTATTCTTTTATTTATTGTAATATTATTTATTTTGTTTTACACAAAAAAAGCATTTTTTCAATCTAAGAATAATTTTTATTACAAAAAATAAACATTTTTTTTAAAAAAAGTGTTTTACATAAACAAAAAACGTTTTTTAAACCAATGAAATATTTGTATTAAAAGAAATAAACATTTTTGTTTAGAAAAACTATGTTTAAAAAAAACAATTTTTTTATTTAAGAAACATTTTTGTTTAGAAAAACCATGTTTTTAAAAAAAAACATTTCTTTTACCAAAGAATCATTTCTGTTCACAAAAAGCATGTTTTTACTTAAAAAAAATATTTTTTGCAAACCAAAAACACATTTTTATTTGTACTAGAAATTTTAACAGTTTTTGAAGGAAGTGAATTTATCATTCGGTGATTAAATATTAAATTTAACAGTTTTTGTTTGCAAAAAATGGTTTTTACAAAAAAAAAGAACATTTTTGAACAAAGAAACATTTTTTGAACCGAAGAACATTTTTTTTTAAAGTAAAACATGTTTTTTTAAATAAAAACATTTCTTTTACCAAAGAATCATTTTTGTTTACAAAAAACATGTTTTACTTAAAAAAAAAAATGTCTTGCAAATCAAAGACTCATTTTTTATTTGTACAAGAAATTAACAGTTTTTGATTGCAAAAATTAGTTTTTACAAAAAAAAAGAACATTTTTGGAACAAAGAAACATTTTTATTGCAAAAAATAAACATTTTTTGAATCAAAGAAAATTTTGTTTAGAAAAATCATGTTTTTTAAATAAAAACATGATGTTTCTTTGGAATATAAATTCCAAAGAAACATTTTTGTTTACAAAAAGGATGTTTTTACTTTAAAAAAATATTTCGACCCTCTTTCAAATCAAAGAAATATTTTTATTACAAAAAATAAACATTATTGTTTAAAAAAAGCATTTTTTACAATAAGAAGAAAATTTTTTGAACCGAAGAAACATTTTTATTACAAAAAAATGTATAGCTCATTTTTCAATCAGAAAATTTCTTTTCAAAAATTCATACATTTGGCAGTAAAAAATTTTTCCGATTTTGGAAATATTTTTAAGTTTATTAACTTTTAATAAATTAAATAAATTTTCGATTAATTTCTCTGTTTTGATTCATTCTTTTTTTCTTTTCACAGGGTCAAATTTTTGTAAATTCGTCTGAAGATGTTCTTCTTTAAAAAAAAAAAAAAAGGAGAAATATTCCTGATTTCTACTTTTTTCGCTATTTTTGTAGGAGGTGAAATATTTTTCACTGTCATCTTAAAAAAAATTCCTTAGAGATTTTATTGGATTTCCGGGATGTTGGAATTTTTCCGTTCAGTTTAAATTGGAATTTTCAATGTTTACATTCTGTGGGAAATTTTTCTCTATTAGGTGAGATTAGTTTGAGAAAAGGAAATCCTCTTTTTTTTCTGATGTATATTATAGATAATACTTACTTGATCAACTGTAATTAGGTCTGCATTTTCCTCTAAGCTTTTAGAATAATAAGGAGCTTCTGAAAAAAGAAAACGATAAGGGAAAATTGTTTATAGGGATATTATATAGGTATAGGTACACACACCTATGTATAATATTAAAGTTGGATAATAACGAAGAAGAAAATTGCATGCATGTTATCTACACTTCAACTACTCTGGAGCTTTTTATCAACACTCAATTCAGGCAATTTACTTTCATTCCTCTTTCTCTCTCTTTCTCTTTTTCTACCTGTTGCAATATTACGCACACACACACACGTCTCTGTAAAAGATATTATAGTCGTAAAAAAAACAGTTTGTCAATATTTCTAGTTACTTCTTTTGTAAATAACGATGAAATATTAATAGTAACGTGTGCCCCATTTTTTTTCTCACAAATAAAGATTGTTTCACCTTCACACTTTATTCAAATAAAAAAAAAAGTTTGCCATAAAATTATTTACAGAGATAAATGGAAAAGTTAAGAAAAAATTGAATTATGGAGGGTTTTTATTGTATTACTTGCAGCGAAATAATAATAAAAAACAATAGTAATATTTCTGATCAATTTATGAAAATTTATTTTTTTTTTAGTTCTTAATGTTTTGAACGTTCAAATTATGGAAATTTTTTTCTTAACTTTTTTATAATTTTTCTTTTTAAATATTTTCGTATTTTAAAATTAATGTATTGAAAATCATCGAATTGTTGCAAAGAATTTTATCAAAAAATCTGATAATAATAGAATTCTTTCAAAGAATTTTATTAATTAGGAAAATAACTGAATTCTCGGGAAGAATTTTATTAAAATTTTTAAAAATCCTAATTAATTCTTTTGAAGAATTTCTTTGTATTTTTTCTAAACTAATGTAGTTTCTTTAATAATTTTAATTAAAAATTTTGAAAGCAACTGAATTTTATTAAAATTATATTGAAAATAATTGAATTCTTGCGAAGAAGAATTTGACTATTTATAAAAATAATTGCATTGTTCTGAAGAATTTATTAAAATTTTAGAAAATAAATGCATTTTATGTTAATAATTGAAAATTTTTATTCTTTCGAGGAATCTTATTAAAATTGTTTTGAAAAGAATTGAATTTCTGCAAAGGATTTTACTATTTATAAAAATAATTGAATTCATCACAAGAGTTTTATTATTTTTTGAAAATAATTGAATTCACTCAATTTTTTTGACGAATATATTTTAAAATTGCATTGTTAACAGGGTGTCTACTAACCAGGAATTCCGGGAAATAACCGGGAATTTTATTTGAACGGGAAAAACCGGGAATTAGCCGGGAATTTTATACCAAACCGGGAATTTTTTTACCAAAATTAAAAAAGTTTTATTATTTTAATTTGTTTTTAAAAAATCACTTTTTAAATTTCAGTTTTTATAGGTATTTATACTGCTCTCTAAATTTAAGTTAGTTAAAAATAATTAATTTGATAGTAAAAAATCAGTCACCAATTCAAACATATTATGTAAATAAATTTTTAAAAAAATATGGAGTTAATAGAAATATTTTTATAGGTATTTATACTGTTCTCTAAATTTAAGTTAGTTAAAAATAATTAATTTGATAGTAAAAAATCAATTCGACTGAAAATATGTAATTAAATTTGTTAAAGAATTTCATTAGAAACTTTTTAACAAATAGAATTTTCAAAGTATTTTAATTTAATAATTGATTAATAATTGAATATTATAAAGAGTTAAATTCTAATGTATTCATGTTTCTTACTGCGAAGATTAATAATTAAAATTTTTATTAGTTAATTTAAAAAAATATACATACTTAAAATTGTTTAATAAAATTGAACTTTCGCAAATTTTTTTTTTAATTCTGAAAAATAAGATTGTTGTAATTTTTTAATTCTATTGTTTCAAGATAATTGAATTTTTCTAAACAAATAATTGAAATTTGTTTACATTTTTTGAAAAATAATTGAATTCTTTTAAAGAATTTTATTTAAATTTTTCGAAAATAATCAAGGGAATTTAATTTAATTTTAAATTTCTGATTAAATGTTTATTACTTATTAAGTAAATAATTAATTATTAATGATTATTATTTTCAAAAATTTTAATAAAATTCTTCACAAGAATTAAATTATTTTCATAAATAATAGCATTCTTTGGAAGGATTCAATTGTTTTTATAAATAGTGAAATTTTTTTGCAGAAATTCAATTATTATCAATATAATTTTAATAAAATTAAAAAATCAAAATTTCAATTATAATTATAAAGAGACCAGATTATTTTTGAAAAATTAAAAAAATTTAAAGATTTATTTATTTTCGAAATCAAATTTAAATTTAAATTTAAATTTAAATTTGATGAGAAAAAAAACCGGGAAAAAATTTGGACATAACCGGGAAAATCCGGGAAATAACCGGGAATTTTGTTGAACGAAAATACTAGATACCCTGAATTGAAAGTAATTTAATTTTTATATAGAATTTTTTTAAAATATTTTGAGAATAATTGAATAATATTTAGAGAATGAATTCATCTGAGGAATTAAATTAAAATTGTTTTGAAAATAATTAAATTTCTGCAAAGAATTTTACTATTTATAAAATTAATTGAATTTTTGCAAAGGCTTTACTATATTTAAAAAATAATTGAATTTTTTCGAACGATTTATTAAAATTTAAAAAAAAATTGAATTTTTTGGAAAAGTGTTAAAAATTTTTTAAAAAATTGAATTCTTCCGAGGAGTTTAATTAGAATTGTTTTGAAATTTATTAAATTTGTGTAAAGATTTTACTATTTAAAAAATAATTGAAATGTTTAGAAGGATTTATTAAAATTTTAGAAAATAATTGAATTCTTTCGTGAAATTTTATTCATTAAATTTTTTGAAAATATGAACAGTAATAATTAATTTTTTTTTATGTGCAAATTGCATATAATATATAAAAAAACTTTAGAAACATTTTATTAGAATTTTTAAAAATAATTCAACCTGTTAGAGAAATTTTATTAAAATTATCTTGAATATAATTGAATTTTTTCCTAGAAATTTTATTAAAATTGTATTGAAAATAATTGAATTTCTCAAAAGAATTTTATATACAAAAATAATTGAATTCTTGACAAGAATTTTACAATTTATAAAAATAATTAAACTGTTTCGAAGAATTTTATTATTTATAAAAATATTTTAATCTTGTGAAGAATTTTCTTATTTATGAAAATAATTTAATTAATATTTTTAAAAATAATTGTATTCTTTCGAGAAATTTTATTAATTGTACCTATTGAAAATAATTAAATTGTTCTAAAAAATATTATTTATGAGAATAATGGAATTCTTGCAAAAAATTTTAATTTTTGAATAATAATAAACAAGAATATTTAATATTATATACTTAATAAGTGAATTCTTTAAATTTTGAATCTGTAATCATTCAAAAATTGATGTTTATTCTTAAAAATATAAAATTTTTTAATTTACAAAATAATAATAAATGGAATACCGCGTATCATTTGTTAGTTAATTTAATATTTATTATTAAGGTACTACTACACTTTAGAAGGCTCTTAAAAGACCAAATTTACAAAATTTTTTTCTTAGGTCTTTTATTATAAATATTTAAAAAAACTTTTTTGCCTATATTAGTACATATTTGGAGAATAAAAATAATGGTTTGTTTTTAATTTTTATTCAATATCATAATCGGCAGACAGCATTCAGATCAAAACTCCAAAAAGTTAGTTGTCCACTTGCGGACAGTTTATCTCAAGATTGACAAATCGGAAACAAAAAATCCAAATTGCTTTTTAAAAAGGAAGGTGTCTTGCATAGAAATCTACCACCAATAATGAAAAATCGACTAAAATAAAAAAATAGCAGATGTTTCAATAATTTGTTTAAAAATACACTATGTTTTTCAGTATTTTTCTAGTCTGCAAAAATGTTTTTTTTTAATTTTTTGACCATTTTCTGGTAAATTGTCACACAGGACATGCTAACAAACAAAACGAGTTATCATTTATTAAAATCGGTTCAGTAGATTCAGAGATAAACTGTCCGCAATTAAGCGTCTGGATCGAATAATCCGCTCTCCGCTCGACTGTATGCTTACAAGCCAGTCAAACATACCAAAATGGTCTAAAAATTGAAATTCAAAATTTTAATTTTTGAAACATACATTCTTGTAGGAAATTGAATGGCGCATCTTTTTTTCCTTTAAAATTTTTTTGTAAAACAAATATTTTTGAAGATAATGACCAAAAACTGAAAATTTTAAACTTATGAAATTAATTAAGTTTTAAAACATAAATCATCATATCTTTGGTAATTATTATTGGATTTAAATGAAATTTGGCATACACCTTCTTTTGGGTTAAGAGAAGGCAACGACAAAATCAAAAATCAAAAAATCATCAATTGTTTAACAATTTTGCTTTGTTAATTAAGAGAGGTTAGAAATTCTACTTTCTCAACTTTGCTGATAAAAAGTCTGCGGGGAATTTTATAATTCAGAAAACTTCCAGTGAGACATTTGTTTATTAGCATTCAAAGAAGTTTTTTGCAAAATTTCAAAAAGATTTGTTAAAAACTAACGAAAATATGAATAAATTACAAAAATGCGCTCGGCGTTAAACATAGCCACGTCAACCCTACATACACACAAATGTATAAAGCTTCTGTTTTTTCTTCATAAATACAAAATTTCAATGAAAATAATAACAATTGAACCATTTATTAATTTAACAATATTTAATAATTATATTATATTTGCTTTTACATTAATTTTTTTTGTTTATTAAATATTACAATAATAAAATTCATTAAATTGTTAATTATTAATGTAAAAACAAATATAATTTAATTATTAAATAATTGTTAAATTAATAAATGGTTTAATTGTTATTGTTTTCATTGAAATTTTGTATTTATGAAGAAAAAACAGAAGCTTTATACATTTGTGTGTATGTAGGGTTGACGTGGCTATGTTTAACGCCGAGCGCATTTTTGTAATTCATTCATATTTTCGTTAGTTTTTAACAAATCTTTTTG